TCGTCACCCCCCCCCCTCGTCACCCCCCCCCCTCGTCACCCCCCCCCTCGTCACCCCCCCCCCTCGTCACCCCCCCCCTCGTCACCCCCCCCCTCGTCACCCCCCCCTCGTCACCCCCCCCCCTCGGAGCCCTCCTCGTGCCCCCCTCACGTCATGCCCCCCTCACGTCATGCCCCCCCCCCCCCACCCTCGGTTCGGAGCGCCTGTTTCTCTATTATTTATGTATTTTATTAGATTCTAAGGTCACGCTCCAAAACGAGAGTCAGCGACTGTGCGAGAGGCGACTTCGTCGCAGGAATGGCGGTCGCGGCGGACATTGATAACGCTACTGATGATTATCATCATTTCGCTGATTGTGTTGATTACAATGCTGCTGTTGGTGATTATGATAATTGTTGATGATGGTGGTGCTGATTGTGATAATAGGGCTCTGTGCCAGCCTATGGGTCTGTATGCAAGGGTATGCGCGTCTAATTGGGTCTCTACTGATTCGTCGTCTGGCTAATGATGGTGAAGAGCAACAGCTGTGATATTGCATCGAGGTGGTTGAGGATCCAGACGATTGCGGAGTCAGGAGGAGCGGAGTGGGGCATCACCACCGCTCTGATAATGCTTCCCCCTTCGTGTCTGCGTTTTAAGCTCCGCGATTCTCCTCTGGGTGGTGACCACTGTCGCCGCACGCTCCCGGCGAGTTTTAAACTTCCCATTTGTGCATCGTCATTAAGTGTCCGCGTCTGCAGCTGCTATGGTTTGTATGGATGCAGTTTCGGCTTGTGGTCCTTAAGCTGCTGCTGCTTCTGCTGATGAGAAAGATTCTGCTGTGACTGCTCTTGCTGGTACTGCTCATCATGAAGTTGCTTCTCTCCGGCCGCTGTTTGAAGGCTGCATTGTCGCTGCATCTGTGCTCTCTGCACTCACTTGTCTTTACTTGTACTGTAGGAGTGGCATGGTCCGGAACGTCAATGATGTGCATGTCGAGTTCTAAATGTAGCTCCCGTGGAGGGGGTGGGAATGGTATGGAGACGACGTGCACCTATCCTGGCACACGCCTGGGAATGACGACCATGGGGTCTCAGGGCCCCCTCCAAAGCTGCGACCTGAAGCGAGGTAAGTGGGGGTGAAAGGGGGGATGGGATGAAGTGTGACCCCCCGCCCACCTCCCCGGATGACCCCTGCAGATTGGACATGGGGACACAGGTGGCGGCGGGGGACAGAGCGGGGGGGGGGGGCTCTGTGAGGGAGAGAGCGAGGCGCGCTCTGCAACCATGAGCAAGGGAGGGAGAGGGCAGCCCCCCATCTCCCCCTCCCTCCTCCCTCATCATGCATAACCACAGCGAGTGCTATGCCGCTCCTCACCCCCAGCCCCTCCCTCCCGCCATGCCACAAATCCAGCTCTTTCATCTCGCTCCCTCCTCCTTCGCATCCCTGCATCCCATCGAGCATCGTCACAGCAAGAAGGCTCGCTCCCAATCCCGATCAATCCCTCCGACTCCTCGGTATCTCAGCCCTCCCTTCCTCCCCGTCCATCCCTCCATTCCCATCCCATCTCATTCCCTCCATCCCTCCATTCCCAACCCATCTCAAGCCCTCCATCCATCCCTCCCTCGCTCATTATATTTCTTCCTCCACCCCTCCCTCCCTCCCCACCTCGCACCCACTCACACAACTGAACAATACCTAAACCCACAACCCTCACCCCATTCCTTCCGTACCCGTCGAAGACAGAGAGGCGTTTCGTTAATTGACAAGTCATTTATTGCGGCCGTCACGCGCGTCAGCGTGAGCACTCATTCTGCTCCTCGATCTCGTCCGCGTGCCATGGGGAGCTACGCGGATGGCTCGAGGGGGGAGCTGCCGCGGATTTCCAATATGTGCCCTGCGGAAGCATTAACATGCCCCGTGCGCGCACACGTACACACGTGTACCAACACTCACAAAGATATGAGCATACACAAGACCCCCCCCCCCCCGTATACGTTTAACAGACTGTTACGGCAAGTGTTGTTAGCGAGCTCCTTTAAAGGTCAACACGATGCACAAGCGAGGGGTGGTGTGGTTGTCTTCCCAGTGTTTATGTTTACACCGCGCACCAGGTAATCATTTAAGGTCGACCAATGGGAGGTCACTGATGTTGGCAGTGAGCGGGAATAGAACTCGGGTCTCCGGATTCGAAGCGCGGTAGCATACATATACGCACAGCTACACACGTACACACATTTACATCCACGCACACACATAGGCTCGCGTCTCACGACGCAATCTCTAACGCACGTTTTTAGATTCATTTACTTTAAATCCCTGATGCCAGAAACCAGATGGAACCCGCCGAGTCAAAACAGGCGCATAATAAAGCAATGAGCGCAGCCGAGTGTACACGGGGCATTATGCAATTACATAGCCGTCAAGAATTAATCTCCATTCGGCGGGAATTACACTGAGAGGCGGAAATAACAGCGGAGGGATCGGGCCACAGTCGCGAATGAGAGGCATCGCATTCGTTATCAGGAGAGGCAGTGGGGCTTGGGCAGGGCACGCCAGGATCTTTCTCCGGGGTGTCGGTTTTCCTGCCACGTGAAGCCAAACGCTCAATGGGATTAATCGCTAAACGTCCAATAGAGCAAGACCCTCCTGCAGCAGTCTTGAGACTCAGCGCTGGCCCGTGTGTGTCCACACGTGTCGCTGTGTCACCGATGCTCCCACGTGGCCCCGTGTCGTCGCGTCCCCACGTGCTCCTTGCTCACAATGGTCCTCGGTTCCCCAACTTCGGTTACCCCCCCCCACCTCGTGACCCCCATCTCCTCCCTGGTGGTGCCGGGGCAGTGCGGGGGGTCCTTGTGACGATCCCTGGGTGCTCGCGGCTGCGTGAAAACTCTAATTTAAATGTCCCACACATACCTCCCGCACCATCATCCCCACCTCCACCTTCTCTTCGTCTTCTTGTGATGGGGACGCGGTGGGGGGGAACGAACTCCGCGGCCCCCATCGCCGCCTGCGCGACCCTGATAGCGGCGTGTGGACACGGGGCTCCCAGCTGGCCACCAACCCCCACCACCTCCCTCCCTCCCCCCCCCGCAGGGCTTCATGATAACCACGGGCGCGGTTTGCTCCACCCGCGGTGCCCGTGCACGCGGCACGGGGTGGGTTGGAGTCCCGGCTCTGGCTCCAGTATTCGGGTTTTTGGTCGGAGATTCATTTCAGCTGGAAGAGTCCAAGAACACCGTTCCGGAAAAGATTTTGCCACCCAGCCACACCCGTCTAATATTAGCGTTCTTACTAATGTCTATTTTTATAAACCCGTTCATAGCATTGGAGTATTCATAGCAGTAGAGTATTAGAGTATTATGATAGTATGTTGAATTTCTTTCGCACCGTACGTAGTCAACCGTGCTAATCGGAGGTGCGGGGGAAGGACAGCAAACAACACAATAATCAGTTCTAAATATATTAGTTCTCAATCAATACTTAAAAGTGCATAGCTCCAGTGACTTCTTCCTAATGTCGGAAGGAAGAGCATTTCAGACGGCCGCAGAAGCGCATCTGAAATGCGCAATGCGGTGACCGCCGTCTTTGTTCGACGGTGAGCCAAAAGCCGCTGCGAGGATGACCAGAGTTCGCGTGATGGTTTATGCTACTTGACGAGATCAGCAAGGTATTGTGGTCCATATGTGGCAAACACCTTGTGTGGAATGAGTGCGGCCTTAGAATGTATTCGTTTGACAACCGGAAGCCAATGCAGCTCAGCGAGCACTGGACGGATACGGTCGGATCTTGCAGTACCCGTCACGACACGTGCCAAATAATGTTGTACACGCTACAGTTTGGTAATAATGTTGCCAGACTTCCGTAGAGTAGTGAGTTGCAATAATCGATCCTTGTTGATACTACACGCCACCGTGTTGGCTGTGTCACAACTCAATTGTGGTCAAATGTGTTGTAGAGCTCTGATATTAAAATTACAGGACCTGACTACATTTTGCAAGTGGTGATTAAACGATACAATCTGGTCGAGTATGGTGCCGAGGCTCTTTAGTTGAGTAGAAAAATTACTCCTGGAGTCTGCAAGCGCCACGACTGATTCTCCCACAAATGTGTTTTGGAGGAATATAGGACACGGCATTATGGGTTCAGTACGGATAGGCGTGCTTTGCCACTCTCGCGTTAGCGACTTATGCCGATCGCCCCGACGCTGAGCCGGTCGGGCAGAGGTTATGGGGTCGTGGTAGGGGTTCTGGTTCTGGTTGGGGCTATGGCCCTGGTAGAGGTTCTGGTTCTGGTTGGGGCTATGGTCGTGGTAGGGGTTTTGGTTCTGGTTGGGGCTATGGTTGTGGTTGGGGTTCTGGTTCTGGTAGGGGCTATGGTCCTGGTAGGGGTTCTGGTTTTGGTTGGGGCTATGGTCGTGGTTGGGGTTCTGGTAGGGGCTATGGGCGTGGTAGGGGTTCTGGTTCTGGTTGGGGCTATGGTCGTGGTAGGGGTTCTGGTTGGGACTATGGTCCTGGTAGGGGTTCTGGTTCTGGTAGGGGCTATGGTCGCGGTAGGGGTTCTGGTTCTGGTTGGGGCTATGGTCGTGGTAGGGGTTCTGGTTCTGGTAGGGGCTATGGTTGCGGTAGGGGTTCTGGTTCTGGTTGGGGCTATGGTCGTGGTAGGGGTTCTGGTTCTGATAGGGGCTATGGTCGTGGTAGCGGTTCTGGTTCTGGTTGGGGCTATGGTCCTGGTAGGGGTTCTGGTTCTGGTTGGGGCTATGGTCGTGGTAGGGGTTCTGGTTCTGGTTGGGGCTATGGTCGTGGTAGGGGTTCTGGTTCTGGTTGGGGCTATGGTCGTAGTTGGTGTTCTGGTTTTGGTTGGGGATATGGTTGTGGTAGGGGTTCTGGTTCTGATTGGGGCTATGGTCGTGGTAGGGGTTCTGGTTCTGGTTGGTGCTATGGTCGTGGTAGGGGTTCTGGTTGGGGCTATGGTTGTGGTTGGGGCGATGGCTGTGGTTTGGGTTACAGTATGTACGATAGGTTCGGGCTTAGAATTACGCTCAAGGTTCAGGTCAGAGTCAGTGCCATAGTGTGGCTCAAGTCCAGGGTTATAATTGAGGTTTTAATTGATGTCACTCTCTTTTTCTTCCTCTCTCTCTTCGTCGATTCGAGTCGCGTGAGACGACGTTTATGTTGTTCACCTGAACCCCGTGCTGTGAAGGACTCGGCAAAGCCAGTCGTATGTCATTGGTTCGCGTGACCCCTACCGCCACTAGATATCTCACAATAGACACAAATAAAAGTTTGAGATCGACCTAGGGTGAGGTCCCGGAACGGTTCATATAGAGCACTCGCTACTGTTAGACGCGGCTAAGAATCAATCTCGGATGAATGTGGTTGTTAGTGAAGTGCGCTAACCTCTGCGCCACCGCTCCCTCCACACACGCTCAATCTGTGTCATGGGATCACAATCTCAGCGCTGCAAGCCGCTGTGTGTGAGCCAGGTGACTTCCTCCCCCTTCCCTCCCCCTCTTCCACTCTCCCCTCTTCTTCCTGAAGCCCCACACCTCGCGTCCCCCTTGTCTCCGTGTTGTCTTGCCTCCACTGTCTCCCGCGTCTCATTCGTCCGCATGTTCCGTGTACCCCCGTGAGTCCAAGCGAACCCCATTAAGCCCGAATGAGTCCCTGCAAATCCCTGCGCGGTGGCAGTGCAGATGGATTCTTGAATGCATCTGTGCTGAGCTTTGAGTGTCACCCATCGTTTGCGTGGTGGGGTTTCTTCAGGTTCTCCATTGTCACCCCATCCCTGCACGAAGTCAAACTCTGATAAATAATGGAATTCATGGCTTTACAACCCAATGTAGCAGAACCCTCCTAGAAAAGAGCCTTCAGACTCAGCGAAGCTCGCCTGGCTACATACTTGGCATCGTGATATCCATATCGAAATCAGCTCAAGCCTTCCGTAAATCATGTAACTTCTGTGTGACTACACCCACTCTGAACCCCTCCCCCCGCCCCCTGTGAAAACACACGCTGATCCTCCATGCAGCTCCTCTCTTCTCTCTTCTCCCTTTCGTCCCTCCCCTCTCATCATCACCCTCTCAGCCTCGATATCTTGGCCCAGTCGAATTTCTGTCTCCCCCTTTCTGCCTGGTGCACCACCTCCTCCTCCTCTCTCCCAGCTGCTCATCTTGAGGCGCGCCCTCCTCTTTGTCCGTCTTGAGGACTTCCGTCCCGGCTTCCATTCCCTCTCCCGTCCCTTTCTCTCTTTCCACTCATGACAGCCTTGACTCTACTCCCCTCCCCGTGGTGGGGGAGCCACGGATAGACAGTGCTGTGTGAGTTCATTAAAACCACAATGAAATGGAACGTATGTGCAACATTGCCTAGATGGCTAACACAGCGTACGGGTATTATTTATGTATTTGTTGGTAATATAGCGAGAGGATGAATTGCACCGGGAGAGAGGAGGTGCGGTCGTGAATCAATCCGCGTGAGCGCCGAGCGGAACCCGCGGAGCTCCGCGGGGCTGCGCTGCCTCCGCCACTGCCGCCTTCATTCCAACCCGCGGCGTTGCCTCCCCCTTCTCAACTCGTCACACCTCCTCCTCTCCAGTCGACGCGACTTCGCCGAGAGGCAACCGCGGACGGGAATTTCCGCGGGTCCTCGTTCATCCGCGTCCTCTGATAGGGGACCCTGGGCCTAGGGGGTCCCAGTGCTCCCCACGGGGATCCCTCGGGGTTTAAACTTCGCTCGCAGGAGCTAAGACGCCTGGTGCCGAGGATCGAATTGGTTTCCAGTTGCTGCTGCTCCGCGTGCGTGTGCGTCAGAGTGAGCGCACTTGCACACAAGCAGCAGCAGCAGCTGCTCCTGGTGCTGCTGCTTTTGTGTGTTCGTGCGCGTCACTGTGAGCTCACACGCGTCCCTTGCGCTCCGCGGCGACAGCAGCAGGAGAAGAGGGAAGCCTTCAGATGCAGTCACAGGTTCTTCATCTTCATCAACATCCTCGGGGGAAAACACAAGACGAGTTGTTATTAAGAGCGATTTCAGAGTGTTCATATTCATAGAGCAGCCACCTCAGAATAACAAACAAAAAAAACAACATACTGAATATTAATCGTGGTAACATCAGTCATTTTGATCATCATAAATAGAGTACAAGTGAATATGAACATATATACCATCATCGTCATCATAATAAAACATACGTTGTCAATTAAATCAGGATATCATCAATAGCGACTGCATACAAAGTATGAGGCGTAATCTTAAAGTGATATAATTATTATCAGTAGCAGCAGCAGAAAATGAAATGAGAGTTTTTATATAAAGTGATATCATCATCGTGGGAGGTGCAATGGAAGCGCTGTGGACGAACGCGTCGCGACTCCCCCTGGGTTCTGCACTTGGCGACCCTGAAGCATCAACCAACATCACCACCATCACGACGAACAGCAACACCATCATCAACATCATCAACAGCAGCAGCGCCAGCGGCGGCGGCGGCGACGAGGAGGAGGGCGCGGGCGAGGAGGATCTGGACGTGAACACGGACATGTACACGAAGCTGCTCGTCACCCTCCTCTACCTCTTCATCTTCGCCGTGGGCACCGTGGGGAACGGCGCCACCATCTACGTGGTGGCGCGCAAGAAGACGCTGCAGCAGCAGCTGCAGAGCACGGCGCACTACCACCTCGTGAGCCTCGCCGTGTCCGACGTGCTCATCCTCGTGGTGAGCATGCCCGTCGAGGTCTACAGCTTCATCTGGTTCCACCACCCGTGGACCTTCGGCTCGTCGGCCTGCAAGGCTTACTACTACCTGCGTGACGCGTGCACCTACGCCACGGTGCTCAACATCTGCAGCCTGAGCGCCGAGCGCTACCTCGCCGTGTGCCACCCTCTCCGCGCCAAGGCCCTCATGTCCCGCCAGCGCGCCAAGGCCCTGCTGGGCCTCGTGTGGGTGGCCTCCTTTCTGCTGGCACTGCCCATGCTGTTCGCCATGGGCACGGTGGAGAAGATGCACAGGAAGGACGGCACGGCCGACCCGAGTGGCGTGGTGTGCACCAACGTGGCGAGCGAGCTGGACCTGAAGATCATCCTGCAGGTGAGCGGCTACGCCGAGATGGGGGGGGGGGCTGCTCTTGACATCGCCGTTATCACTGTGATGCTAATTATGATGGTCATCACCGTCAGAATCGTTAGCAGCAGCATTTAGTTATCTCAATTGGCATTGAAGTCAACGACAGAATCAGAATTGTCATTTTAAGCAGCGGCAGCCTCGGCATCATTGTCATCATGATGGTCATTTATGTCGAAATCATTAATGTCATCGTCGATAAAATCATGGTCATAATTAAAATATCGTCATCATCAGCATTGTAGCTGACATCGTCGTTATCATATGTATGGCGATCATCATTGTGATCATCATCGTCGTCCTCCCATCACCTCGTTAGGTACCGAATTGGCGAAACAGTAGCATCAGCAGTATCATACTCAAGATCATCTTTGATAACAGTAACCATCAATCATAATGATCGTGATGGTAATCATCGTCATTCCGCAGACGTGTCATTGCCCGAAACGTTAGGCTCCATCGTCTACTATCCGTGTGCTGAGAGTCCGTGGCAAGGAGGTCGAGTTAGTATCTGGACGCAGCGGGCCGAGTGGGCGACATTCCTCGTGCCAATGCCGGCACGGGATGGTTTTTGTTCTTGGTTTTTGTTCTTGGACGCGTTCTCAAAGCCATGGAAAACGGGCTGCCGGCGTGCTGCCTCGAGTCGCGGTGAAAGCCGTTCGGACCTCTCGCAGTGAGCCGTGCGTCACCCCGGGTTTCAAAAGGGCACGTGGAAGCGGATAACGCAGAACAACTCCGATAACCCTTCAAGTGACCACGTCTCTCTACGAGACCTCTGCCGCCGCACCCATCTTGTTGGTTTCGGCACATCTACCACTGAGGTCGCTTCGTGAAAAACCAAATTGGATACGGGTTGTCTTTGTGTGCAGTCGTCGGTGGTCGGGCTGAGACTGTCACCGCGCTACATTTGGGAACGCGGTTTAACCACGGGCGGTTGCACTCCGAATTTGAGGATTTCATCGGTGCCAGATCAGTGTCTCGTGGTGTTCGGTGTCTCCGACACGGCCACTGTGAACCTCCCCAGCCACCCGACCGCCTGGAACGTCCGCGGGGTCTTTCCCGTCGCCCTTGCATCAGATGCGGCGCTTCGATCGAGTCTGGGCTTCACAGAGTCGGGAATGGACCCAGCGTGCGAGTTCACAGACAATGTGCCCTGCAGTGAGATTCCAAGGGAGCTGTGAGGGGGGCCTCTTCCACCCGTGGGGGGAGGCGAACAGGTGATGGACGCGAGCGGCGCGTGCACTGCACGGAGCGCGCGGGAGAGGATGGATCGATCATCTCGAGACTGACGGGACGTGACTGGGCCTCGGTGATAAAAAAAAAACATCGTCATCAATATAGCGATACAATCCCGAGCAACATTGTAATCGGTAGCATTATTATCATCGTCATCGCCACCACCACCATAACTTGGTGATAACTCTGGAGACCAGGATAGTCTCAACATGACCAAACAGAACAAATAAAGTGCAGCAAATATTCACCAGCAGCAGCAGACTGGTTATGTCAATCTCACGTGACCACCCCCAGATGAACGCGCTCACCGCCTTCCTGCTGCCCATGCTGCTCGTGTGGGCTCTCAACTCGCTCATCGCGCGCTGCCTCCTCCTCATGCTGCGGGGCGCGGCGGCTCCCGGCGCCGGAGGAGGGGGGGCAGGAGGGGGGCTGCGCCTGCAGCAGGGCGCCCCCAGGGCGGCGCACCGCGCACCCTCGCACGGGGACGGCTGCGGGGCCCCGGGGTCCCCTCGCGGCTCGGGGTCCCGCGGAGCCTCACAGGGACCTGGAGCTCTGCGCGCGCGAGGTCCCCGCGGGGACACCGAGAGCCTCTCGCTGGGAGTCTCCCTGGAGCCGTCGCGAGTCCACGCGCTGCGCCACGGGGTCGCCGTGCTGAGTGAGAGGCGTGGGGACAAGGCGGGCTCTCACGGGGATATTCGGGGGTTCACCTAGGACTCCCGGGGACTCATAGGGACCCACACTCACGGGAAACCGCACTGACTCATAGAACTCACTGGGAGCCGCATACTAATTCGCATTCACAGGGACCAAGATACTTACGGATCCATGGGGACTAACAAAGACTCACAGGGACCCACAAACCAAGTGGGTATCTCGGGGACCAACAGGGATTTATTCGGACTCGTGTGGCTCTCTAGGACTTTAAGGGACTAACGGGGAACTCACAGGGGCCCATAGGGAATTTGTAGGACTCATGGGGAGTGACCTAATTATCATTAGGTACGGACAAATAGCTTCACGAATCCATTGCTGAGTCGCCACCTCGCAGCCCAAGTGTACACACAGCACGAGATATGCACAGCCACTCTGTGATCCGAGCCCGCACGAGGCTCAACTCGGCGGAGCTGAGAGCGGACGAGACGAGCCCTCTCTGAATGAGTCCTCCCCGAAGTATGAACGACGCCTCGGTACATGGCTCTTCAAATGGCTCTGAATGACTCTCAATGCGATTTCAAATGTGTTTTGATGTGGACAATTTATCCCCGCCGTGACTGTCGTCCGTATCAGACGGGGTCTCCGTGGGTTACCACCTGCAGAAAAAAGGTCCAGGGGTTGTGTCTGTGTCTGTTTGTCGAACTAGGTCGACTCAGCCTCAAATGAGTACCTCTTGCGGTGTGTCAACATCGCCACTGGGGAGACAAAGGCGGTCGGGCGTGGTGCTGGCCACCCACCCCCACGTGTACCGTTCCGGCCTTCATAGGTGCTCGCTAAGCACTTGCTCCTACAGTCTGTTACAGGCTATACGGGGGAACTTTTTTGTGTGTGTGTGTGTGCGCACACAGGGGCGATCGTGGTGGCGTTCGTGGTGTGCTGGCTGCCCTACCACTCGCGCCGCCTCATGTACTGCTACGTGCCCAAGGACTGGTGGACTCTGTGAGCGCCCCCACTAACCCCTCTCCTCTCCATCCATCCACTCCACACCTGTGTGCTGATGACGGCAACGTTTGAGCTGTTGATGCTGGCGGCATTGATGGTGGCGGCGTGGGCAATGCTAGCGATGGTTGATGTAGCGCAGGTTTGGAGGAATGTCGCCATCTATTACATTGCGGACTCCGCGGACTTGGGTCCCATCTCGGAGTTTACCGCCCGCGCGATCCAGGGGATTGCGAGGGGCTGGCGGGATTTGAAATCCCTGGAGCGGATGCCACGAGAGAGGAGCCTGTGTTGTGAGAATATGAAGCACGTCAATCAGGGGTATTGTGCCAAGAGGATAATAGGCGCTGATTTTGCGTGGGGATGGTGAGGATGGTGAGGATTGCGAGGGTGGGTGGGGGTATATTCATCAACGATTCTCACATCCACCTGTACACTCATACACCCACCCAACAACAACAGCCGCCAATCGCCAATAAGTGGCGCTGACGTCACCAAGGCATTTGTGCCAGGCTAGGTGCACTTTGAGGCCACGTGAAGTGTCTAAGGCTCGCTGGCAGGAGGTCACGGGACAGACCCAGGTGCAGTGGGTTGACTGAGATGACTGGAAGATGCACCACCTGTGCTCCTCACTGTGCTAAATCGCTGTAGTTTAGCCGCCTGATGCTCTGCTCGTTGTTGCGAGTGTCACTCCGTTGTTGTTGGAGGGCGACTGCCTCCAACTACCCAGTCGCGTCCTTCACGAACCTCCTCCACAGAGGCCGCTCTTGACACCGCTAAGGCCAGTTATGGGAAATTCCACTCAACTCCATCACTTCCTGTACCGCATCTCTTCTCTCGCCCGTGCCGCCCCCCTTTAGCCCCCTCTATCTGGCCAAACAGAAGCTACTTGGCTAGGCATGCGGGCTACATGACCCAGCCAACGCAGCCTTGCCTGCCGGAGGAACTTACCGATAGGACTGTGTCCAGATATTTCAAGGATCTGTAAGCTGCTCACACAATTCAGCCTGGTTTAACCCAGGATGGATCGTAGACAGGACAGTCTGAATGTTTCTAATCGGCGCAGATGTTCCATTAGAAGGGTCCACGTTTCATACGCATAGAGAAGGGAGGGCATGACTGTGGCCAAGAAGACTTAAAGCTTCGTGTGGAGCGACACACTAGGTAGCTTCCACACCTATACTGTACACACACCTGTACACCCACACGTGGTACGGCTCTGGCACGGCCAGGGGCAGGGCAGCTTGCGGAGCAGGGGGCAGGGCAGTGCTTCTTGGTCGGTCTCTTGGCGGGCAAGGCAGGGGCAGGACTGAGCAGGGCAGGAGGCAGAGCCAGCCCTGCCCCCGAGCAAGAATCTCCCGCCTGTCTCTCGGGAGCAGTGATGATGGTCATGAAACAGGAGATGAATGGCGGAGGCTCTCGCCGTCTCCATGAGAAGATGGCTCCCTTCGAGCCCCCCGGGCCACATCTTCTGCTCTACGCGCATCAATCACCGGCAACAGCCCCCCTCTCCCCCCCTACCCCCACCCCCGGGGAGCCCGAAGATAAATTAATACACCTTTGAGCGTGGAGCAATCAGAGAACACAACGGGCACGAGCATTACGACTCGAGCTGTCCGTGTGTGTCCGTGAGTTCAGTTCGTCCCATTGAGCCTTGCACGTTTCCTCACTCTTCACCCGCCCACGTGTCTCCTCACCCCCCCCCCCCCCATGCGCAACTTCCTTACCCACCCCCATGTCTCCTCCTCACCCCTCCGCGTGCCCGTAGCCGGCTCAACAACTTCTACCACTACTTCTACATGCTCACCAACGCGCTCTTCTACGTCAGCTCGGCCGTCAACCCCGTGCTCTACTACCTCGTGTCCGCCTCCTTCAGGAGCGCCTTCCTCGCCACGCTGCACTCCCTCGCGCTCTGCGGACGCCCCTGGCGAGGTGGGTCCGCTCCTCGCTGGGGGGGGCGAGCAAGGAGGAGGAAGGGCCGAGGCCGGTGCGAGGGGCCCTCGGGAGAGGGCCCCGGCTCTCTGCTGCAGGGGGACTCGGCGCGGAGGGGAGGAGGGGGCTCCTCGGCGCTGCTGCGCCTGCACGGCGTGGGGGCCCCCAGAGACTCGAGTCCCAACACGGGGGAATCTAGCATCAGCATCTCCACCATCGACGCGCTGCGGTGACCGCGCAGTCCAAATGGGGGGGGAGGGCGTGGTAGAAGGGGACAACGGAGGGCTCAAGGTCAAAGGTCAACGCGAGTTGCTGTTCAAACGAGCATCGGTGCTCACCTCCAGTTGACAGCCCTGAGCCAGTGATGGAAATTCCACGTTCCCATGGCGGGGTGAGTCCATTAATTGCACAACCACTGTTGACACCCCCTACTGAGTGGTACTCACTTTATCGACCCCGCAGACATGGTGGGCTGAGCAAACATTCAACCAGGATTTTAAACTCTTTAGTAACCACAGTTAGTGGCGTACCAGTGGGACATTCAGACACTGGTTATGCAATGGTGGGACAATGGTGGGACACAGTACCAATGGAGGAACAATGGGACGATCGTGGGACAGAATGGGAATGAGCTGGACAATTGGTGTCATAGAGATATGCACGTCACGCTTTTGTGAGCCACGTTCGAGATACTCATTTTCTGTCAATGTGTGTACTGTCAGTTTAACACGTAGGCTTTCGCGACCAATATCCATAATTTAGGGTTTCTGGGTTAGATCGCGTAAATATAAATGTGTCGTTAAACCCGCCACCACTCGAAACAGCCAATTAAGGTTTATCACGGAAACAGAACATGGCAATTGGTTACTAGTACAGCACACTAGTGTGTAGTACGACGTTTTGCCAGTAATTACAACTAGCATCATCAGGCGACAGCCAGATCGCCTGATGATGTTACGTGATAAACCTAACTAATTGGCCGTGTCGGGTGGTGGCGGGTTTAACGACACATTTACGCGTTCTAACCAAAACAACTCATTATGGGTGTGTGTATTGTGTATGTGAAGCGGTGGCGCAGTGGTTAACACGCTGCATTACGAGCCCGGCGGCCAACACCAGCCGCGCGTTTTCTCGACAGGGCCTTGGTTCCCCCTGAACCCCCCACGAGGAGCCCCCCCCCCGCCACGCCCTCTTTGTTGTTTTGGTGTCGGTGCAGTTGCACCGCCTGCACACCCGATAGCTACGGTACTCGCCGTGAATGAGTACCTGCTGCTGCGATACGTAAACATCAATCGTGGGAGACGAAGGCAACCGAGCGTGGCGCTCATCGCACCACTGTCGTGCGCCGTGCCGACCTGACCAGGTGCTCCCTAACAGCTCTTGCCACTAGTCACCTGTGCAGGATCTTTGTTTGTATCATATGTACGATATGTGAGAGCTCTTAACTTATTTCCCGAGTACACGGAATATGTGTACGCTATATATCGGGGAGCGGTGACGTGCAGTGGTTATAGGTGCTCGCTAACAGCACTGGCCCAACAGTCTGTTACAGGCGATACGGGAATCTGTGTCGTTGTACTCCACGTGTACACGGTATACATTCTGTGCGTATGCTCTGGATATGCAGAACCGCGCGGTCTAGCGAGGTATTCACACAGCAGTAGACACTCTGTAGTTAAATGATGGTGATTGTGCAAGCAAAAGTGTTGTATTGTGTTTAAAATGGTGTGTACATTTACAGCAGTGGAGATACAAAGGCGGCCGGACGCACGTGTTTCTGGTCCCAGCGTCGTGGCGTCGCTCGCCGGCCGCCCAGTGTGGGGTTGCTCTCCTCTCGTCTCGCGACAATGGACGTTGGCCAAACATCCCAAATGTCGCAGGATCCCCCTCTTGTCAAACGCGCGTCTCGCACTCGTAAATGAAAGAATTACGGTACTCCCTGGGTGGTCCGCGGGGCATCAACACCCCCACCACCCCATCACTGCGGTGCTTGTTGTTGCTGTTGTGCTCGTAGGGAGCAGTCACATAATCTTCATCGATTTCCTGAGCGGGGATTTATCACCGGGTTTGATTATCGCTCGAGTTGTTGGAATAAGCGGCGTTTATTTCATTAAAAAAGATTGTCGGACCAATGAAGGATATCTCGCCCTGCCTGTGATGAGACGCATCTGGCTCATCGTAATTATCGAACTCGCGTTGCGATGCACGGGTTTGTAAGGGTTGGTGGATCACGCCGTGATTTGAGAAACTCATCTCACCGAGCGGAAAAGATGGCCATGAGATGGAACAGCAAGTGGATTCGTGAACCCATCTGTAAGCGGAATTGAGTGTCACCCTCCCCTATGGAAAGTGGTTTTCCTTCGGGTTCTCTGGTTCCCTCCCCCGAGAAGCCAAACTCTCATTCACCTGGAAATGCCCCAACGTCTCAATGTGGCAGGACCCTCCTGAGGAGTCTTGGGGCTCAAACGAAGACTGTTCTGGCATTATCATTGTAAAAGTTACGTCTGAACCCCCCCCCCCCCCCCGTGATTCAAGTCTCAACGTAGGGCTGACCGCGCCTCCCAGTGTCTGCTGCTGCTGTGCCTCGTGTCCACCTCGTGTCCACCTCGTGTCCACCTCGTGTCCACCTCGTGTCCACCTCGTGTCCACCTCCCCTTGCTCCGGTTTCTCCGTTGCCTACACGAGCCCAAGTGCATCATTAGCATATAATTTGCATAAGCTGTGGACACCCCGTGTTGGCCGCGAGCAGGAATCGAACTTGGGTAACCGGGTTCATAGCGCAGCGTAGCGCTAACCGCTACACGATCGCACACACACACACGATGCACACGACACACAGACGCACAGGCAGGCGAGTGAGCGAGCTCACACTGAAAGCTTTACTCGATGCCGTCTCGGACGAGACGCGTCGCGGCGCCGCGCACAAGCCGAGAGTAGGAGACGCGGCGCCTTCTCTCGGCCACGCGGGGTTCCCTGAGGTAGGCGCGGATTGTAAACGACAGCTCCACGAAAACAACATTTACAATCTGAACCGAAACATCGTCGTCGTCGTCATCATCATCATTACTACAGTTAACACAATTCTTCACCTCCAGAACGAAAAAAATCACTTCCCCCCCCCACCCGCCGCCCTCCCCCCAGACTTCTTTATGTCTAAAATAACAAACGCGCCCCTTTGCTCCCCCAAATAAAAAAAAACGTTGATTGAAAATGCGCAGTGGAGAAACGAGAATTGGGAGAGGGTCGCTCCCAAGGTAAAGATGGGAAAGGGGAACACGGGGAAGAGCAGAGGACGGAGGTGGGGAGGACAGTCGGGGGGAGCAGCGGGAGGGAGTAGCGAGCGAACAACCGCACGGGCTCCTTCAAACCCCGGTGCCTGCTGCGTGCAGCGGCCAGCTCGCACGCACGTTCACACACGCGCGTTCGCGCACGCGCGCACACGATCACGCGCACGTTCACGCACGCGCACGTTTACACACGCGCACATTCACGCACGCGCGTGCAAAGTCGCACGCACGTTCACACACGCGCACTCGCACGTTCACACACGCGCACGTTCACAAACACGCACGTTCACACACACGCGTGCAAAGTCGCACGCACGTTCACACACGCGCACATTCATTCACACACACGCGCACGTTCACACAAGCGCACGTTCACACAAGCGCACGTTCACACACACGCGTGCAAAGTCGCACGCACGTTCACACACACGCGCACATTCACACACTCGCACGTTCACGCATGCGCATGTTCACACACGCGCACATTCACACGCACGCGCGTGCAAAGTCGCACGCACATTCACACACGCGCGCACGTTCACACGCGCGTGCAAAGTCGCACGAGCGTGCACACACGCGCGCGCACGTTCACACACGCGCGCGCATCACACAGGCGCGCGCACGTTCACACACGCGCGCGCACGTTCACACACGCGCGCGCACGTTCACACACGCGCGCGCACGTTCACACACGCGCGCGCACGTTCACACACACGCGCGCACGTTCACACACACGCGCGCACGTTCACACACTCGTACACGCGAGCGACGGCCCCGTACATTCAACGAAGGGAACTCGAGAAGCACGCCACCTCCCCGTGTAAACATTCCGCCTGGTCCGCGTGCCGCCCGGACCCGGGATACAACCTAGGTACAGCCACCTGGCGGGCACCTTTAGCCCACAGCCCCCCAACCCCGACGAGAGCAACAATGAAACCAGAGTCCGAGGGAGCGCGCGGGCAGCACTCCCCCACCCTCCCCTCCCCGTGAATCACGGCGATTCGGGGTGGGGGTAGTTACAGGAACACGGGCTCCGAGTTCGACCCCAAGTCCATGGAGCAGAGCACAGGATGGTGGTGGTGGTTGTTATGAAGGTGGTGCTCAAGGTGATGGTTGGTGATGGGGAAGGTGATTGGTGGTGGTTTTCTTTCGTATGGATTCATAGTAGCATATTTTAAGATGTAATTTGTGATTTGTTATCCACTCAATTGTCTGTTTAGATGCAGAGTGGATCTCGCCCGTTCCTCCTTTAAAGGAGTGAAGACAGCAGCAGCTGTTTAGAATGTGGTCGATCGTTTGGAATTCGTGGACGCACTCGCAGACCGCCGAATCTTCGATGCGCCATTTGCGCATCAGGTGGCAGCCGCATCGGCCATGCCCGGTCCTGATTCGGTTGATGGTCGACCATTGGCAGCATGAAAGGTTGAAACCTGCAGGGAGGGTCGACGGTAGTAGGGTCCTGTACGATATGTTTCTTTTTAACGTCGGCCGCAGTCCAGACTCGCTTCCATCTCTCGCCTTCATCTGCATCGGTTGCGCGGAGTGAGGCTGCTGTGATCGAGAAGGGTTGGCGTGATGTTAGGCGAACAGGCGGCGCTGGGTTTATGTGCCGTTGCATCGGAAGGTGTGGGGGGGCTTAACAATCATTGCTTGATACTCCCGGACGGCCGCCGCTGTTTCACGACGGATTTGCGGCGAAGCGATGCGGGCGAGCACCGGGAGCCATTGGGTCGACGTCAGCGTACCAGAGTTGACACGCATTGCAATGTTCAGTTGTGTAAGATGTGAGCGCTGCGTCCCCACACAGGTGACCAATATACTCCCGTCACATACACGGGGGAGAGTGTGGCAGTCCATAGTGTTTGCGCATCACAGCCGCAACTAGTTCAAAGAACCAAGAATATATAGTTCCCGCCAGTTTATGAATAATGTTCGTGCAGGTTTTTATCTTGTTGCTCAACTGCTCAATGTGTTGCCTGAAAGCGAGACTTCGATCGAGCACCACTCTAAGGTATTTCGGGATCACAGAACTCGACCTTCGGCGTACTTTTTGCGTCTGCGTTGTCGAGATGGAATGCTGAGGATACACGGTCGAGGTTGGATTTGGCTTAAGTCGCCAGGAGTAATAATACTCTTCCAATTTCTTTAGGGCGGTGTTCAAGATGTCTTGAGCTGCGCTGAGTGTCGTCGCTTGGCTGACCAATGCTAGATCGTCTGCGTCAATGAACATGCCGCTTGATGTGGCCGGCATGTTGCTGATGTCAAGATTAAACAGAGCTGGTGGTGGTGCCACGTGGGAGAGGCACCCATTCTCAACGCACGAGAATCATTCTGACTGCAATTATCAGAGGGCTATGAGAAACAATGCCAGCAGTGGGTAGAGAATGGATGATAATGGAATATGTAATGGACATGTTAATGATAATCGTATTCAGATATACTCATGCCCACCACCATCACCATCTACTATGCTTATGAAACCTTTGAAAAACACACGACTCAGTTTTTCCCATTTGAGTGGGACAGGTTAGACATCTGGTCCACAGACTACCTCCTGAGACAGTCTTGAGACTCAGCGAAACTTGCTGGACCATGGTGGGGTCACATTACATGACTTCTCATGCGTAAAGGTGCACGCCTCACGCTCTACCTTTGTCGTGTGGACATTAGTGCAAAGCACTCCAGAGGTTTATCTCGGGGTGAGCTCATCTTCGGGCCAAGGTCATAGTGACAGGAGGCAGGGTCGAGGTTACGCCATCGTTGCGATGGGGGCCTCGTCAATGCACCACCACCCCCCTCCCCCACCCAAGCGGCAAGTGGTACGGTCCACATGCAAGTTACGCACTGGCTGCGGAGCAATAAAGTGTACCACGTGCCATTCAGAGGGGTGGGAGGGAGGTTAGTTCTGTATTTGGCCCTGGCTGGGGGGCAGCCCAGGGTACATACAATATATTATCACCCCTAAACAAAACATTTTATTAAACACATTCGAGCCCGCGTCTCTCGTACCGGGTGGGGCACTGGGCGGAGAAGCAGGATGCATGCAGCAGGGGCTGGAGGGTGGGTGACAGGGAAATGGAGCAGGGTGGCTGAACACTCCGTGCGTAGGGAACCAGCAGGGTGGATGGGGCGAGGTGGCAGTGGTTGGGGTCAGGGAGGACGTGGTTGGGGCGGTGGCGGAGGAGCGAGATGGCGGCAGAGCGCCGACCCACGAGTCGCTCACCGTGGTGACCACATCGACGCGCATTCGCAAGCGTCGGGGTCACTGCCGGGTGCCCCACCATGCCCGCCCCGCGTTCTACAACCCGAGCGCCCACCAACAGCGCCGCTATGAAGCGTGCAGGCGGTGCAACGGGCACCAGGGCCCGTGGGCCGGAGGGGCCCAGGTGCCAGGTTACCAACTTCATTCGTTGCTCCGGCGCCCAAGCAAAACATGCTGCGCCACTGCTCCGAACCCCGTCCTTCATCACGTCCACAGTAATCTTCTCTCACCCCACCGCCATCACCAACCATAACCAGAATGCTCATCGCGATGAATCCTAGTCTCACTGACAGCACCAGCAGAGGAGTCGGACACTCGTCCCACCATCTTACCGCACTCCAATCTCTAACACACCACCGCCTAACCGCACTCCAATCCCTAACCCACACCACCGCCTAACCGCACTCCAATCCCTAACCCACACCACCGCCTAACCGCACTCCAATCCCTAACCCACACCACCGCCTAACCGCACTCCAATCCCTAACCGCACTCCAATCCCTAATCCACACCACCACCTAACCGCACTCCAATCCAAACCCCACACCACCACCTAACTGCACTCAAACTGTAATCCCCTTTCTCTTGCACATCTGTAGCTGTCTCCTTCACTGGGTCTCCACCTTTACCACCCGAGAAGCATCACACACCCACACGTGTACACACACCCACACGTGTACACAGACATACTCACTCACATGTGTACACACATACACATAGACCCCCCGTATAGCCTTTAACAGACTGTTGGGGCAAGTGCTGTAGCGAGCACCAATGAAGGCCGGGATGGCACACGCAGAGTCGCACGTGTGCACACATACATACCGAAACATTCACATGTACACACTGGCACACACACGTGTACATACGTGTACACACAACGGCACACACAGTCACATGTGTACACACAAACTCACATGTATACACACAAACTCACACGTGTACACACACCACAGCGGGCACTAAGCACTCTCAATCCCATACACAACGGCACATACTCTCTCACACGCACACACACACACACACCGGAACACACACACACACCGGACAACACACACACACCGGAACACACACACACACCGGAACACACACCCACCGGAACACACAAACCCACACATACCGGAACACACAAACCCACACATACCGAAACACTCACACATACCGGAACAGACACACACACCGGAACACACACACCGGAACACACACACACACACCGGAACACACACCGGTACACACACACACCGGAACACACACCCACCGGAACACCCACACACACCGGAACACACACACACACCGGAACACACACACACACACCGGAACACACACACACACACACCGGAACACACACACACACCGGAACACACACACCGGAACACACACACACACCGGAACACACACACCGGAACACACACACACACCGGAACACACACACACCAGAACACACACACACACTGGAACACACACCCACCGAAACACACACACACACCGGAACACACACACACACCGGAACACACACACACACACACCGGAACACACACACACCGGAACACACACACACCGGAACACACACACACCGGAACACACACACCGGAACACACACACACACACCGGAACACACACACACATACCGGAACACACACACACACATACACACCGGAACACACACACACATACACACCGGAACACACACACACATACACACCGGAACACACACACACATACACACCGGAACACACACACCGGAACACACACACACCGGAACACACACACACCGGAACACACACACACCGGAACACACACACACCGGAACACACACACACACCGGAACACACACACACACCGGACAACACACACACACCGGAACACACACACACCGGAACACACACACACCGGAACACACACACACCGGAACACACACACACCGGAACACACACACACCGGAACACACACACACCGGAACACACACACACACCGGAACACACACACACACCGGAACACACAAACCCACACACCGGAACACACAAACCCACACACCGGAATACACACACACACACACCGGAACACACACACACACCGGAACACACACACACACACCGGAACACACACACACCGGAACACACACACACCGGAACACACACACACCGGAACACACACACACACCGGAACACACACACACCGGAACACACACACACCGGAACACACACACACACCGGAACACACACACACACCGGAACACACACACACACACAGGAACACACACACCGGAACACACACACACACCGGAACAAAGATAAAGATCCCCCACATAGCCTTAACAGACTGTAGGGGCAAGTGCTGTTAGCGAGCACCTATGAAGGCCGGAACGGTACACGAGGGGGTGGGTGGCCAGCACCACGCCCGACCGCCTTTGTCTCCCTAGTGGCAATGTTTACACACTGCACCAGGTACTCATTTGAGGCTGAGTCGACCTAGGGGAGGCCCGGGACCGGTTCAGATAATCGTCACTGGTGTTGGCCGTGAGCAGGAATCGAACCCGGGTCGCCAGGTTCATAGCGCAGCGCGCTAACCGCTACACTACCGGAACACACACACACCGGAACACACACACACCAGAACACACACACACACACACCGGAACACACACACACCAGAACACACACACACACAGGAACACATACACACACACACCGGAACACACACACACACACACCGGAACACACACACACACCGGAACACACACACACACACACAGGAACACACACACACACACCGGAACACACACACACACACCGGAACACACACACACACCGGAACACACACACACACCGGAACACACACACACACCGGAACACACACACACCGGAACACACACACACACACACACCGGAACACACACACACACACCGGAACACACACACACCGGAACACACACACACACACACACCGGAACACACACACACACACCGGAACACACACACACACACACACCGGAACACACACACACACACCAGTGAGGCTGTTTTGACAGGCAGCACCATGGACCCTCCACACGCCAGGTCACGCGTGGTCTTGACCTGGACCCCCACTCCCTGGGGTCCCCACTCCCTGGGGTCCCTGTGTTGTTGATGTAATTTTGTTGTTGTTGATTAGATCGCGCACCCCCTGGTGAGTTCGGCACGATGTTGATTTTGATATGAGTGCTCAGTGAGACGCGAGTCACTCAACCCCCACTGCCCAGCTGAGGGGGGTTGAGCAGGGAGAGCATGGGGGGAGGGGAAATTAGACGTTGTGGGGGCTGGGCGAGGGTGGGAAAGGGGAGCAGATGGTGGATAGAGGGGGGGGGGCCGTGCTCGAACGACGAAGGCACAGCCACGACGGACGCCAAGCGAACTGCCGGAGGATTTTGATCAACAGCTGCACCTGAGGCGGGTGACAGGTGAGCGAGTCAGGTGAAGCGGGCGAGCGGTCAGGCGACGCGGGCGAGCGAGGGGTGAGCGAATCTGTCTCATGCCGGAACAAATGCCGAGGTCCAGTCGCACCGCACCACACCGCTGTGGCTTGCGACACCACAACCTCCTCTCCCCATGCTCACAGCCGCATCGTTGAACAGACTGCTTCCCGACTGCCCAAGCCAGCATTGTCTCCAGACCAGGCAGTGGAGGGGGCACAGGGTGGACTCCTGCTGGGTAGTGCAGCGGGTACTGGTTGGACTCCTGCTGGGTAGTGCAGAGGGTACAGGGTGGACTCGGTTTCGGACTCAGACGTGACGGCCCGTCAGGAAGAACAGGGGGCGATCTCCGGGCGAGTTGGCCGTCTGGAACTCATCTCGCAGACGGAACTGCCACACCTCCTCGAGCTCCAGCCGCACCACGGTTTGACGCAGGGAGCTCCTGTCCTGGCAGATGACGCAGAGCGTCGCGCCTGCAAGCGCACGCCGGGAACCCCGCGCCAGCATTAGCCACGGTAAATCCACTGCTGGTTTAAGGTCTCCGCAAGGCCACAATTTCAATGAAAACACACATCACGTGCACGCCACCTCCCACACCGTGCTCATGCACCCGCCCCATCCACCCACCACCCCCCTCCACAACCTTAGCCACCGACTCAAGGACGAAACCTCCGCCCCGCCACCCACTCCCCTGCCCCAAAGCTGCACGGCGCCTACCCTGCAGAAACTTGAATCGACGCAGCATGTCAGCCGTGAGCCCTGAATCGCACAGGTAGAGCAGGAGGCCGCTGTAGACGGGGAAGGGGCCGGGGGGGGCCACGGGGGCGGCTCGGGAGCTCGCGTAACACACGGACACCTGCGGGACGGCAGAGGAGTCGCAAGCAGAGCTCAAGAACCGGCAGATCCTCATGTCCCTCCCTCTGTCCATGCGTCCCCCCCCACTCTTCCCCGCGCATCCCTGCGGTGGTACCTGTGCGCCCAGGTTGAGGTAGGAGTCGAGGGCGAGCACGGGGTGAGCGTGTGAGCGCGCCGCTTGCGGAAACAGTGTGCTGCCGGCCACGCGCAGGTAGCGCTCGAGTAACAGGTGAGCTGGCGCCTGTAGGAAGGTGTAGTCGCTGTCTGGGGCGCACACGAACTGGCTCGGGGAGACGGGCGCGCACACCCCTGCCGCCTGCACACACAGCATTGCCACATTACATGGCACATCACGAGCACGGCCGCATCATGCAGAACGTCACTCTGACCACCACAGATGTGGACGAATCATCGCTCCATCACACAGCACCATGACATTCACGTCATGCACACTGACTGTAACATCGCATGAGGCGTCACCACGTCAAGCCGACCGTCGCTCCACCACATGGCCCATTACACCCGTGGCACCAAATGCCGCGTGATTGCCGAATCTCACTCCACCGGAGGGAGCCTTTATTTCCCAGGCCGGTGCTCATCTCTGATTCCGCAAACGAGCGAGCGAGCAGGATCGAAATATAAACGATGTCTCCGTGGGGACCGTGCCGAACATCGCTCGGTCTCCAGCCGGGAGGGCACAATCCCCCATGCGGATTCACTGCACATCTCGAGATGGCATGCGGACACGGTGGGGAAAGGACCCTCAGACTGACGGGGAGACCCACAGACTTGGGGACACGCACAAAGCCTTAGACTCGCATGGAATATTCACAACAATAATTTCCCCCGATTAAAAAAACTGGCAGGACCATCCATTCCCGGGTAAACAAGTGCCACAATAAACGAGCGCAGTAATAAATACGACACCATTGGGATTTATATCGCGTCTTCATTTGATCGCATCACAAGACTCAACGAAAATATTTATTTGGTAGAGAGAGGCAGGCAGTCGTAGAGGAGAGTGAGGCCTTGAGCCTGAGACAGGGGCAGGCAGCCGACAGCACGGGTGGCTGTGGGCCATGGTGGCAGCAGAAGCGTTTCCTCCGACACTCTCCTGGCGAGCAATTGGCCAAAAGCACGAGCGCGGCGCGGGAACTCGCAGAGATGTTCACGCTGATACAAGACGATTATTTCACGTTACGACTACCATGCCGTGTGTTACATCTCATCCAATTTATTTCTTTGGAAATGACAGAAGGGGTCCATGTTGAAGATTTAACGAGGTGTTATGGGGGAGGAAAGGGGCGGGGGCGGGGTGTGGGGGGCCACGCTCCACGCTCTCTTCCCGAGTGCCGCGCGCGGCGCCGCATTCCACCCACGTCGTCGCCGATGTCATCGCGCTCATCGCGCTCATCGCGCTCATTGCGCTCATTGCGCTCGCGCCAATTAACGCATGGCTCCTCCTGCCGCATTGTTGCCGCTGCCAGGGGTTGCGTTCCCGCGAGGGGGGGGTGGCGGCGGAACGAGGGTTTACGCAACAAAGCGGCGACGGCAGATGGGCCGGGCACCGAGATTGCTTTTTCGTTTTTCTCTCTCCCCTCGGAGATACAAATTACGCGGAGGACGTGCGGCGCGCACGGTAGGGGTTGCGCAGGGGAACGGCAGCTCGCAGCGCTGGCTGGGACGTGCGTATGTGTGCGTGCATGTGCGTGTTCATGCATGTGTGTGTGCGTGCGCGCGTGCATGCGTGAGTGCGTGTGCTTGCGTGCATGCGCACGTGCGATCTGCACCCTTCGCACGTTTGTGGCGATATTTCCGAAGAAATATCACGACAGTGTTTGTGCCAGGCGAGGCCAACTTTCAAACACCAAGTAGGAACATACGTATATGCACGCAACCCACACGCACACACATACATACACAAAACAAAAGATCCCTCGTATAGCCTTCAACAGACTGCAAGTCCTGTTCGTGAGCACTCATGAAGGCCGGCCACGTCACAGGAGGGGGTGGGCGGCCACCACCACGCCCGGCCGTCTTTGTCTCCCCACACGCACCCACACACGTACGCACCGTTGGTGCCTGTGGTACAGGAACGTGCTGGTGCCCACCCACGCCCACGTGTTTCTTCATGACGCTGAACGCGTTGAAGCAGCACAGCAGCAAGGCCTGGCCATCGGCACGCAGGTTGAAATCCACATCTTCACACGAGTACCTGGGCAGGGCGACACACCTGGGGTCACACTAGGAATCCTACCTGGGGTCTCACACCTGCCCGCACGCCGCGGGTCACAACTGTATTCACACCTCTGCTATTACCGGAGAATCTCGCCTGTTTGTGCTCACACACTGAACCTCACTTGTACTCTCACCCGCAACTACACTCACACCTGTCCCCACACAAGGGTTCACAACTGCACTCACACCTGGTCATCGTGGATCTCATTTGTACTCCACCCCACGTACTCTCTCCTGAACACACACACATCCGTACGCTCGTCCACACTGTCACCTCTCCCCCTCATCCTCCGCGCACGCACGACGCTCACCGGTTGTGGTCGTACGTAACGGCGCGCGTCAGCTCCACGTTGAGCAGCACCAGGTCGTGGAGGTGTCGTCGTGAGAAGGAGTGGAGGCGCGCCGTCCCGGCGGCACCGGACGGGCCCGCGGCGCGCCACGAGCCGCCCCAGCGCCGCACGCCCAGCGCGGCGTAGCGCGTCACTTTGGGCGTCGCCTCCAGGCGGCGCAGCACGTGGCGCAGCGACACGCAGCGCTCCGTGTCCACGGCGCCGTCGCCGCCGGCGGAGCCGCCGCCGCCGCCGCACGCCGGCGGCTCGCGCGTCATCCCATCCGGTTCCATTTCCCCTTCGGACGTCTCCGCCCTGCACGGCCACGGTGGGGCAAAGGTCAGGGGCGGCGCCGAGTCTCGCCATGGCGTCGCGGCCGAGGCTTTACCGAGGCGCGACCTCGCTCCGCGAGCGCCAACGGTGCCGGCCTCGAGCACTCCGTTTGCACCGCCGACCGTCACCGCCGCAGACGCCGCTGCAGACGCCGCCACCGACGCTCCACGCGAGATGCCACGGCTCAAACGAACACCGCCGCGGGGGGAAGTGGGGCGAGATGCGAGAGGGGGGCGAGGGGGGGGGCGAGCGCTGACCCGGTGGCCCCCGCCCTCCGTCGGGGCTGCGCCTCGTAGAACATGACGCACGAGTCGTCCATCACCAGCACGAACGGCCATACGTCCTGCGGGCGCGCGCCAGGAGCGGTGCACTCGCTGGCGGCGTCCGGGGCCCCGTCGCCTCCCGCCGCCGACCCCGCCGCCTCCACCTGGGCGGCCCGGCGTGCCCGCTCGCGCTCCAGATTCTCCCGACACAGCTCCTGGACCAGGCACCGTGCCAGGCCTGGTGCACGCACACGTTGGCGCGTAAGAACGTACGCGGGATGGGAACGAGCATCACCGGGGCGACGGCGATGAAGCAATTGGTCGAATAGCACGATATTCGTGTCCAATAGCGCAAAGTGTATGCAAAAGAGATTCTAATATTACAATTATTGGGCTATGGAGGGAACTGTGGAGGTTAGGTGCACGGGTACATAGGGAACATGCGGGAATGTGGAACACGTGGATAAGCACGTGCATGGGTACGAGCGCAGACAAGTTAAGGGGCATACAAAGACATACGGACGGGCATACACAAACACGGACACACGCAGGCACACCCCGGGGCACATGGAAAAACACGGGAAGGCACATTCAGGCACCACAGATACAGTTCAGTTCAGTTTATTTTGGTATAGCCCTGTGAGCCATCCGGCTCTTGAATCGGGTGCAACCACAACAAACAAAAAAACGAACAGGAAAAACATCTTAAAGTGACTATGAGGCTGTGCAAACAGAAAATCCATGGAAAAAAAACAGCAAAAATATTCCTGAAAAAAGCACCGTACACCAACGCTGTGTGCAAAATATCCCAGTGGGATGCAAGTCAAACCACAACCACTACAAGAAAACTTAGATTAAGGCCATCAGTCTAACTCCATACTACAACAAAACAAACATGTCCAAACCAAAAAACGTTTTCCAAATCACCAAAAAATAAAGCCATAATTGCAACGTATACAGATACATATACAGACACACAGGCAAATGTGAGTACACATACTTGCCCATTAGGCACACAAGAACACACACAAGCACACGAGGGGATGCCGTACCGACGCCGGTGTGGTCGAGGTGCCGGGGCAGCGCCAGCAGCACGTGGTTGGGCCAGTAGCGCTGGTAGGCGGGCACCTCGCCGGCGCGCACCACCACGACGTGCAGCGCGGCGGCGCCGGCGCCCTCCAGCGCGTGGTGCAGGTTGAGCAGCCCGTGCTCGTGCCGCCCCGTGCTCGGAGTGAAGATTGGGCTGCGCACAGCCACCGTGTCCTCCTGGGGAGAGCGTGAGGGTACGCGAGCGTGAGGGTACGCGAGCGTGAGGGTACGCGGGCGTGAGGGTACGCGGGCGAGAGTACACGAGCGTGAGGATACACGAGCGTGAGGATACACGAGCGTGAGGGTACGCGAGCGTGACAGAGCACGTCAGCTCCAATCAAAACACGGAAAGAGCTCTAAATCTCAAGGTAACGTGCAGGGCAACGCGCACGGTAACGCGCACGGTAACGCGCACGGTAACGCGCACGGTAACGCACACGGAAACGCGCACGGCAACACGCCGGGCACGGGGGGGGGGGTTTGGGCATGGAGTCACGGGTGGCAGAGCTTAATAAATAAATAACAATTCTGGAGGGGGTGGGGGAGCGAGGTGAAGCACGGGGCAGAAAGGGATGGGGGAAAATAGCTTCACGGGTTCGTGTCGGTGGTGAGCGAGTTCTCACCGTGTCGGTGATGAGCGGCAGGCGGAAGCTGTGCATGGTGCGGCCGCTGGCGCTGAACACGAAGTGGTGCTCCTGGGAGCGCGGCACGAGGAAGTGAAGCGTCACCTCCTCGCCCAACGCCGCCGACGAGAACGTGAAGGCATGCAGGCCGGCCTCGCGTGCCTAGCCAGCCACACGAGCACCGCGTAAGTGCGTGTGTGTGTGTCAGTGTGCGTGCATGTGAGTGTCAGTGTGCGTGTGTGTCAGTGTGCGTGTGTCAGTGTGCGCGTGTCAGTGTGCGCGTGTCAGTGTGCGCGTGTCCTATCTCCATATCCCTCTCTCCATGCCTCCCTCATGTTCGCATGCTTTCCACCTCTCCTCACGCTCCGCGTGTCCCAACGTCTTTGTGTTCCACGCCCTCTCTGTCCGCATGTCCCCTTGTGCCCTGTACCCCACGCCCCCCCACCACTCCCCAGCACCTCCGCGTCCTCCTCCAGTCCGCTCTGACCTGCGTGGGCGGGCCGGGGTCCGTGTAGAGGTGGCACTGCTCGCAGTGGTGGAACGTGTTGTGAGCCGCGAACTTTGACAGCGTGACGGACACGGTGCGCCGCTTGGCTCCGCCCGATCGCTCCACCAGTCCTGGGGGGCGCAGGGGGAGGTGGGGGGGGATATGGGAGTGGGGGGACAGGGTCGCGTGAAGAAGTTCAGCAGCTGCACACTTGCCTGCGATCGAGCGCTTGCCAGCGAAGCGCTGGTGCCACTGCGTAGGATTTCACTGTTGTGCTGTACAGATCTCCGCCGTGGTTTTGGAGATCCAAAGAGTTGGTGGATCACATTGAGACTTGTCAAACTCTACAATACCCCCCCACACTCCACAGCCCCCTTCCCCCCACAGGGGCGACTTACGAGAGGTGCGAGGCAAACTCACCAGACTTGACCCTTGACCCCAAGCGAGGCGTGTAGACGGGGCTGGCATTGCGGAAGCGGCTGTCGCGTAGCACGGGGTCGAAGGTTAGCTTGCGAAAGGCCTCGATGTCCGGCCACTGGTCCTGCGACACGTGGAGGCTCGAGCTCCCCTCCAGCAGGTCTGGGGACACAGGGACGTGGAGACATAGGTGATATGGGGACACGGAGACACGACAACACCGGACATGGAAAACATACATGGAGATATGGGACATGGGGACACGGAGTACAACGGTGTTGGAGATGAAAAACCTGCATGGAGTTATAAGACCACGTTTAGGAGGTAGTGGTGAGGAGGTGGAAGAGGATCCGGTATGGGAGTCGGTGGGTGTGAAGGTAAAGGACATACAAGGGAGAGGAGTTAGAGTGGGTAGAGAGGAGATAATTGGGGTTGTGAGGTGAGGAGGTGATGAAGCGGTGAGGAGGGTACCTTGGTTGATGTCTTCCTCGTTGTAGACGTCCACCTCCTGCAGGCGGATCAGCATGCGGTTGAGCACACGCAGGAACTGCAGATAGGCGCCGGTCTTACCCACCTGGAAAACAGCATCCATCAGCCCCAGAGCCTCGTAATCCAACGCTCACACCGACAGTGTTTCCGGCAGCAGCAAAACTCACTATTTCCCGGTTTCAGCGTCTCAAGAGGTCAGCACACCACATCCAGTATACCATATCGCTATGGCTTTATCTACTGCTAGTCACGGGCCACTTGCTTCAGTTTAACCAGCGATTCAAAAAATATTCAGTGAGAAATGAAGCCCTGCCCTTCACTACGACGGGCTGTCCCTACCAACGCCCCCCAAAACGCGACGTTCCACACCTGCGGTGGGCCACACAACAGCAGGCGGCGCGGGTGGAATCCACCGCTCCCCCCGGCCCCCGCGCCACCCCCGTCGGCCGCTCGGTTGTCGTGGTCGCAGTGCTGCTGCCGCGCCACCGTCCACAGCCTGCAGTAGGCCGAGGATGCAGCGGCGACGGCAGGGGCGTGCGCCGGCGGGGGCGGCCGCAGGTGCGTGGCCCAGCCCACCCTGGGGGCGGGCGGCAGCAGCGCGTGCAACTCGCTCCCGCCCTGCCCGCGCAGCAGAGCGGCGACGGCCTTGGGCAGTAGCACGCACGGGGGCAGCACCTCGGCGGGTTCCGGCGGTGCAGGATGGAGCACCGAGGGGGCCGCCGCGGTCGCCGGAGACGAGGAGGTCCGGCTGGTGGCGGCCCGCTCGTCGACGAGGCCGACACCGCCGTTGACGAGCGCCGGCTTCAGGTCGCCACCCGTTTGCGTGGAGACCTCGGCGGATGGTTCCGTCGTCGGTTCGGGAGCCGGGTCCGATGGAACCGGGGGGTGTGTCCTGAGGGCCATGCTTGTGCTTCCCTCGGCCGGTGGGGCCGGCGGGACCGGCGGGGGGGCGGCGATGTCGGGGGAAGGTGCGTCAGGAGATTTGGGGTCGGAGCCGGTGCCGGTAGATTTGAGGGATGAGCCCTCCTCGCTGGAGACCGGGCTCGAGCCATTCTCTGCTACTCCACCTGCGACATCACCAGTGACATCACCAACATCGTTACCAGCAACAACACCACCCCACCAGACATGATCACAGGTATCACGACCATTTCCGAGATCCTCTTTGACGTATTAGCCGACATCTACACCGCCATCCTGACTACTGGCATCGCCACCTCCATCAAGAGTTTTCTGCATCTTCCGGAACGTTTCCCTCACCAGAAAACCCCCAAACAACCCGGGAATGAAAAACAAAATCAGCGTTATAAACGCTAATCATGACCTTGTCACGCTAATGCTTATTTAGCATTTTGTACCATAGTTTTGCATTGAACACGAACCATCAAGATCTGAAGGTTCACCAACATTGCTTCTCGCGAGCCTCACTCTGCCGATGGGACATTGAACGAAACCAGTCCAGAGGTGTGATCGCACTGAACTAATAACATCGAAATTATGCGCACTCCCAGAAGGCCGTGCGGCTGATGGAACGCATAAGAAACGCTTTTGTGACTTCACGCGGAAGGGCAGACGCGCAAGGGAGGGGGGACGGACGCGCGGGGGACGGACGCGTCGTCCGCTTAGTTTCAAGAGGCGGTATCGGTCTCACTGGAGGAGGTGGTGGGGGGCATGGTGCTGCCCTCGCTGTGGGGGCTGCTGTGGGCCTCCTCCCCGCTGGCCGTCCTCGTCCGCCCCCGCAGCCCTTCCCCCGGCGCCCCCGCCCGTCGTCCCTCGTTGCTCGGGGTGCGCTTCCCGGCCGACGCGGTCGCCCGGGTGACATAGCGTGCGGCCGTGCCAAGCTCCTGCTCGAGCGCCGTGCGCGTCACTCCGCTCGTGCTCATGAGTCGCAGGTCGCAGTACTTGAGCGACCTGAGCAGGGGTCATGGGTCAAGGGGCACACAGCGTGGGTTATAAGTAACAGGACATGTGTTGCCAAGACTTCATAATTGCAAATTTCATGACGTGACGATTGTGGCAATATCAGTTCCCCGTAACGCTCTCACCGTATTTGGTATTTGTACAGCTTTGCTCAGCGAGGAGATTCACTGAAAAGTTCTGCAATTGTTGTGCAATGCAGGCTGCCATTGAGCTTCTCATCATTATGACCCCCCAAACTCTGTGACGTCATCTTGCTGCTGCCACCTCTTTCGCGGTCTTCCTTTGCTTCGTCTCCCCGGCCCACTCCATAATTCCATCGGTTCTGATGACGCATCCCGCCCATTGGCTTGAACAGCAGCAGCACGGGTGATCCCTGTCCTTCTGCATACTCCTTCATCCCCTAGCCTAACTCCGACGAACCGCATGGTGTGGCCGTCTCACCTGGGCAGGGTCTCGCCGTACAGGTCCTTGCCGCTGAGCAGCAGGATGCACGGCAGGTCCTCCAGGTCCTGGAAGCTCCGGGGCACCCAGTCACTATCCTCCATGCCCCGCCACGCCTGCGCGCAAGACAAAGGTCCCCCGTGTAGCCTTAACAAACCGTTGGGGCAAGTGCCATTAGCGAACACCTATGAAGGCCGGCATGACACACCGGAACGAGACGTGGACCACGCCGGCCGCCTTTGTCTCCCCAACGCGGACGTTAGGAGGCGCACGCAAGCACCGGCGTCGCGCCGGCACTCGCTGTACCGTGCCAGCGGCAAGCCGGAATGGCCTCACTCACCCGGAGCCGAGCCAAGAAGTGCTTCCCGACGGTCAGGTCCGCGCCGTCGGCACCCGCCAGCACCACCTCGAAGCGGTAGCTCATGCCGAGGCGACGCCGCACGTCCAGGAGGCGCTCGTAGGCGACCCGCGCCAGCTGCGGCGACGGCACGCGCAGCAGCAGCATGGGGCCTCGCCCGGTGGCGTGCGGAGGACCCGCGACGGCGCCCAGCATGGCGCGCGTCTCCACCGTGCACTGCGCCTCGGTGCCGTGCGCGCCCGCCGTCGCCAGCAGCGCCGCCGCGTAGTGCCGCACGAGCAGGTAAGTGCGGATCACGGCGCTGTGCAGGCGCGGGAACCTGCGGGGGGGGAGGTGGCGCCGTGAGCATCGTGGGGGGAGGGTGGGGGGAGGTGGTGAGATTGGCCGCGTGGGTTTTCCCTCGTGCTGCACGGCTCTCTGTGTCTTTTGGTGGGATGTCCGACCATTCCCGGCGTTAAAAAGAAAAAGTACAAATAACAAAAAAGCCAAACGGCCAGCAACAAATAGCACTAAACTCTTACATTTTGTTTTTTAGGCAAAGTCATAAGATCTTGGGAAACGAGACGGTGGGAGGAAACAAGCTGCGATGCAGTGGTTCCATCCCCGCCCACAGCAGTGTGTACAAATCGTCTGGGAAGCTCCCAGCAAGCGGTGCGAGACGTGGGACATCGTGCCGGGTGACACGTGGCTCAACCCGAGAAGGCGCCGGAGGGATCTGATGCCGAATCTTAAGCGACGGTCGCGTGGATTAAGCGAGAAAAATCTCCCGGCGGACTCTCCGTGCCGCCGCTCGCGATGCCATTTTGAAACCCGCCTAACGGAGAAGATGAATGGGAGTGAAATGTGAGGGAGCCGCCACCCCCACTGCCGCTGCAGGCGCCCACCGCTCCCCCCGCTCTCCCCGCTCCCCCCGCTCGCAAGTAAAGCCCAGGATTAAGAACGGCGCGGAGATGAAAAAATACCTTCTCTCCGCATTGTTCACCGGCAGTAAAATTGCAATGCCCATGCACGGTTGCCAGAATAAGAAATGAATTGCCTTCATAAAAAATAAAACTTTGTTGTCCTAAATGCCACGGCTCTAATGTCACTGCCGTAAACTCCGGATTTAGGCCAATTTCAGCGGCTGCGATTTGAGATTGAGGATTTCACAGCCTCAATGAGACTCGTGGTGAAACGGAGCGATGTGGGGCCCGGAAGAGCCATTTAGTGGCATCTACCTGGGTCCTCGTCGTCATGGTAACTGGTGACTATAACCCCTCACCCACGAACTCTGCAATCTCATCCTAAGCCCTAAACCCCATAACTACTGCACCCATACCCGCATAACCACTTCTCTTCCTAACCCACGACACCTCACCCTAAACCAATCAAGATCCTAGATCTACTGTACCCCTATCCCCCAAAACCCGTTCCTCTATTCAATGACCCCGAACCCAATCTGCGACCCCTGGAAACTGCTCCGCCCCTGGTCCCCGCGACGCCCCGTGGCGGCGCCCGTGTCGCTAACGGTGCCGTAAATCCTGGCGCGGCGTTTACGAGCGGAGTGGGCGGAAGAGGCAGTTGGGGTGGGAGGGAGGAGGGGGTAACTTGTGGCCAGATCAGGGAAATTTATTCGGGAGCTGCTACACCGTGCGTGCGTCACCGTGACAGCGTGTGGAAATTTGTGACGGGCGCGTGGGCATGCGCGCGTGCAGGGTGTGTGCGTGCAGCTGTATGTGTTCGTGCGAGTGGGTGAGTGTTTGCGTCTGTGCCTACGTGTAGTGTGTGCGAGTGCACGCATGCGTGGGGCGCACCTCTCCAGCAGCGTCTCCGCGAGGCTCTCGAAGGCCTCGTCATGCCGCATCGCCGGCAGCCGAGTGGGCGAGTGCATCTCTCGCCGGAATTCGCTCACGCCAAAGTACTCGCTCCCCAGCAGGTGCGGGCCCTCTTGCCGCACCTGTTAAGAGGTGGGGGGTGGAGGAGGAAGCTCTCGTAAATGGATGCATCGTCACGTGGAGATGGAGCCGTGAGATCGTGTCGCAGGAGCGGGACGGATCGTTGGATTGCAAGGTCATCAGAGAGAACGATGGCTTGGGGAGGCCTTCATGCATCCATGGGCATGCACAAGAAGGATAACAATGCCATTCTTGGAGCAAGAAGAGGCTCGTTCATAAGCAGGACTCTCTTGCAGGCGAAAGTTCACGTGAGGGTGAGCCAACGAGCGAACGAGCGAGCGAGCTCGGCCGGACGAGTCGGTGAATCGGTGCGCCAGTGAGAACGAGAGTGCGTGTGCGAGTGATTGAGCGTGCGGTTGAGGGACCGAGCGAGCGAGGAGGCAACACACGAGCCAGTGAGCTGGCAAGCGAGCGAGCAACCAACGTGTGGCTCGCGTGCTCGCGAACCCTCACCGGGTCGGTGAGCGGCCAGTAGACCTCGTTGTAGGGCGCGATGCGGGAGTGCTGGCTCTGCAGGCCGTAGGGCGCCGCCGACACCTGCAGCGTCAGCAGGTTCGCCGCCTCGCGCGCCTCCCGGCAGTTCACCAGCCGATCGGCGAGCCCCGTGTAGACGTCGCCGTGGGAACCCGACATCGACGCGCCACTGCGGGGAGCGACGGCGGCCCGGGTTAAGAGAAGGCCGCACAAATTTCCGTGAGCCTCAAGTGGAACGCACGGCGGGTCGGCGGCCCCTTCCTCCTCCCCGCTCACCCCTACACTTGCCGAGCGTACGCGCGCAACACAGCGGCGACAACCTCCCCGGACTTGCCTTGCCGAATTGCGGCCATTAGGGGGCGCGGGGGACGGGTGCGAGCGCCGCACGGCCGCCTCTGGGTGGCGACGTCTGTCCACAAACTATGCCACTGACTTATGCCGCCTTGGGACCAAAGCACGGAGGCCGGGTCTCAGTCTCCCACCCCATGTCTCTCCGTCTCTGCGTCTCCCTGCGTTCTCATGGGTCTGCCCACGTCCTCCTGTATTACCGCATCCCCCCAGGGTCTCTGCGTTGCCCTGTATCCCTGCGTCTCCGTGTTCCCCGCGTCCTCCTGTCCCCCCGCGTCCCCCCAAGTCTCCGTGTCTCTGCCTGTACCCCCGCGCGTCCCGCGCGTCGTGCCCCCCGCATCCCCACACCTCGTGGTGTCGGCGTGGGCCTGGTCGTGCACCAGCACGAACAGTGTGTAGGGGTTGCGGCGCACGCGGTGTAGGAAGGCCTCGAACTTGGCCTGCCCGTCGCCGTCGAGGCGCGCGACATAGCGCTCGCCCTTCTGCGACCCCTCCTCCACGCCCAGGTCAGCCAGGATGCCTGCGGGGTCACCGGGGTCACGGGGTCAACACGGTTCACATTTGCCTTGCTGCTGTTTCTGTTGCACTGCTCCCCTTTGGAATTCCACCCCTCCCCTCGCCTCGTCATCCAATTTCCAAAGTTCTTACAATAACCTTGCTCAATTTAATAAACACGTTATACCCTTATCTATTCATCTTTGAACAGCGGTGTTTTTTGCTGGATGCTTGCCATTTTGGCCTTGGCTCAACAACTGTGATAAATAAACACACCCAGGAATCTTCATTTCCCAGGAGAGAAGCCGCCATGAAAACTAGGACGGGAGGCGACCCTACTGTGGATGGTGTAGATTTGGGGAGCCGGGTGGCAATGCCCCCCCCCCGCTCACTGGACTGGTTGAGCCGCTCCAGCGTTTGCCGGTAGAGGCTCTCAGAGGGCGGGATCAGAAGCAGGAAGTGGACGCGGCCGAAGCGGCCCAGGTCTAGGTGCTGCGTAGCGGCGTCGGCGATGGCGCAGACTTGCGACAGCAGCTTCCGGGCCACCCAGAACTGTGCCGGATGCAGGCGGAACCCTTCCGGGGGTGACACTGGGGGGCCATGCGGGAGGGAAAGAGAGAGGGGTGACGGGGGGGCAGCAACGGAACGCGCGGTCAGGCCGGGGGAGCTCACGGGTGAGTAGCGAGCGGTGGCGGAGCTCATGAGTGCGCAGGCGGTGCAACTGCACTGGGCCCCGCGAGAGCGGTGGGTTATGCAAATGGCTGGGGGCGGGGGCTATGAGATGCAAAGCTTCATTCCACTCTTTTTATCGGGGTCCATGCCAATCCCGCTCTGCCACTGATTCAAGCTCTGGGGTTCGGGTTAGGGTCAAGGGTTAGGGTCAAGGGTTAGGGTCAAGGGCTAGGGTCAACGGTTAGGGTCAGGATTAAGGGTTAGGGTTAAAGGTCAGGGTTAGGGTCAGGGTTAAGGGTTACCTGTGCCGGCGGGGGGTAGGGCGACGGCCGCTTCCTCGTCGGCGCGAAGCGGCCGCCCCCCCTCGTCGTCGCCGTAGGGAGCGAAGACGCGTCCCTCCCTCTCCTCCTCGAAGCGGTCCAGCAGCCAGTCGAGTTCTCGCTCTGCACACATCACCACGACAACGAGCGTCCCGACATGATAACCGCATGTTTCAAAAGAAAGCGACTTCACGCCCCAATGAGTGTCGAGGCACCGGTGCTCGCCTCCCGCTCTCAGCCCCGAGCAAGCAGCGAGTCTCTCCACATGACAAGCACTCTTGACTTCCCCACAAAGCGGTACCCCTTTTATCGACCCTGGAGGGACGATGGGTTGAGTCAACCCCCAACCTGCTAGTTGTGTTGAGTTTGTTGTCCTTCTCCCGCATCTTCGATTAGCACGGTTGGCTAGGTACGGTGGAAAAAAAGTTCAAAGTACATTCACACATACAACCAGAATTTGAACTTGTGACTTTCCGATTGCGAGCCGCTCACTCTAGCGTGGAGCCAGCTGGGCGCTTGAGATCGTTAGTGCATTGTCTCCGTCCATCTGTCACAACCTCAATGCAAATAACATGCGATTATTAAGTCGCTGTAGAAAATCGACCGAATTTATCAAAAGTTCAATGCCCCAAGCTTGTGAATTATAAATAAGCGCTGAATAGGCCAAAGCCGCGTCAGGCGGTGGTGAGGCGGCTGCGGGCGACGGGGGTCTCCTCACCGTGTGAGCTGCACTGGAAGTGAGAAGCGAGGATGCCGACTTTGCCAGTAATGAGCTCGTAGCTGATCTCCTTGAGGCACTCGGCCACGGACAGCATGTTCTCTGCTATGGCGCGAGCCTGCAGGGGGCCTGGGGTGCAGGGCCACCAACAACCACCAGGGTCAGAACTACACAACCACCAGCATCACAACTACACAACCACCAGCATCACAACTACACAACTACCAGCATCACAACTACACAACCACCAGCATCACAACTACACAACCACCAGCATTACAACTACACAACCACCAGCATTGCAACTACACAACCACCAGCATCACAACTGCACAACCACCAGCATCACAACTGCACAACCACCAGCATCACAACTACACAACCACCAGCATCACAACTACACAACCACCAGCATTACAACTACACAACCACCAGCATTACAACTACACAACCACCAGCATTGCAACTACACAACCACCAGCATCACAACTACACAACCACCAGCATCACAACTACACAACCACCAGCATCACAACTGCACAACCACCAGCATTACAACTACACAACCACCAACATCACAACTACACAACCACCAGCATCACAACTGCACAACCACCAGCATCACAACTACACAACCACCAGCATCACAACTACACAACCACCAGCATCACAACTACACAACCACCAGCATCACAACTGCACAACCACCAGCATTACAACTACACAACCACCAACATCACAACTACACAACCACCAGCATCACAACTACACAACCACCAGCATTACAACTACACAACCACCAGCATTACAACTACACAACCACCAGCATTACAACTACACAACCACCAGCATCACAACTACACAACCACCAGGGTCAGAACTACACAACCACCAGCATTACAACTACACAACCACCAGCATCACAACTACACAACCACCAGCATCACAACTACACAACCACCAGGGTCAGAACTACACAACCACCAGCATTACAACTACACAACCACCAGCATCACAACTACACAACCACCAACATCACAACTACACAACCACCAGCATCATAACTACACAACCACCAGCATCACAACTACACAACCACCAGCATCACAACTGCACAACCACCAGCATTACAACTACACAACCACCAGCATCACAACTACACAACCAACAGCATCACAACTACACAACCACCAGCATTACAACTACACAACCACCAGCATCACAACTACACAACCACCAGCATCACAACTGCACAACCACCAGCATCACAACTGCACAACCACCAACATCACAACTACACAACCACCAGCATCACAACTGCACAACCACCAACATCACAACTACACAACCACCAGCATCACAACTGCACAACCACCAACATCACAACTACATAACCACCAGCATCACAACTACACAACCACCAGCATCACAACTACACAACCACCAACATCACAACTACACAACCACCAGCATCACAACCGCACAACCACCAGCATCACAACTGCACAACCACCAACATCACAACTACACAACCACCAACATCACAACTAAACAACCACCAACATCACAACTACACAACCACCAGCATCACAACCGCACAACCACCAGCATCACAACTGCACAACCACCAACATCACAACTACACAACCACCAACATCACAACTGCACAACCACCAGCATCACAACTGCACAACCACCAGGGTCAGAACTGCACAACCACCAACATCACAACTACACAACCACCAGCATCACAACTGCACAACCACCAGGGTCAGAACTGCCAGTCACAGCACACGTACATCATCACCGCCTCCGCCACGGCCGCGCGTACCGGTGACGATGACGCAGAACTCGCTGCCCCTCGCGCACGACGTGCACACCACCACCACGTAGCGCGGGCGGTTGAACCGCGCCGCCGCCGTCGTCCGGCTGCCGCCGACCGACGGCCCCCACGCCGCCCCCGCCGTCGCGGCGCCGCCGTCTCCTCCGTGAAGCCGACCCGGCGCCGCGGGACGCGGCGAGCGCGCCAGCGAACCGAGCGTCTCGGCCAGGCCCTCGCCGAGCGAGCCCTGCGTCGCCAGCACCCGCACGGCGCCGCCTGACGGGCACGCCGCGAGGCGCGCCAGCCAGGGCAGCTGGGACGGCGAGATGCAGGGCGGGGGCACCGGCCCAGGGGCGCCGCCGCCGCTCACGATGACGCCGCCCAGAGACGAGTGGATGTGCGAGGCGTCTGGGCCGCCCTGCTGCTGCTGCTGCTGCGTGCGCAGCAGGATCTGATCAAACTCCTCCCGGAAGGGGGGGCGGTCTCCGCCTGTAGTGGTAGGGGGGTACGGAGAAGGTAGGGGGGCTCCGTTAACATCCGTCCACGGGGGGCCGTGTCTCGCCCGATTGGTGCCACGGTGAGGGCGCGGTAGCGCGGGTGAGCGCAGGGGCGAGCGGAACACGCGCTCACCGAGCTGGGCGAGGTAGTGCAGGGTGAGGAGGATCTGCGTCTCGATGGGCAGGGGCGGCGCGGAGGGCGCGAGGCCCAACGCCTCGGCGGCGCGCGGCGGGGGGAACTGCGGGGAGCCGTAGCAGCTCATGAGCGCCGGGCTCACGACGATGTCGCCCACGTCGCCGTACAGGTAGGGCAGCGTGCCGTGACCTGCGCAAGGTGACAAAATTCGGTATCGCGGCGCGGACGGCGTTAAAACGCACGACGTCACAGCGGTCGCGACGCACGCGGCGTTACGCGGCGTCGCGTGGTTACAGCGTGGGTTAGAGCGCGTGCCACGGCGACTCCCGGCGAGCCGTGGTACAAGGCCCGGATTGCCGGGCGGGCGCCCTCCTCACCGATCAGGATGACGGGCCGAGTTCCGCAGACGTCCGCCAGGCTGTCGGGCACCACGACGCTCTCCCCGGCAAGCGGCGCCGCCCCGGCCACGCCGCCGCCCAGCATGGGGGTCGGCAACGCACTCGCCGCTAGCGCCGGATCTGTGCGGCATCACGGCACGTGGGGACGCTTACAACACAAAGACGAGGGTGGCACGACGCCATGCATGCGTGCGTTGCGCACGTGCCTCTCGTTACCTGTGCGGCTTGAGTGGTGCACCGGCGGAGGGGGACCACCGCTGGTCCCCACGCCGGAGGGGGACCCCGGGGACCAGCCCCTGTGACGCTTCTTAGGGGGTCCCGCTGACGACACTCCTGGCGGCACCAGAATACGGAGAAACATGCGGACGTCATTCTTGAATGCACGAGCGCAAGCACGCTTGCGCATACGCGAACACAATCGCCCACACGCACACACGCGAGTAAGCGCGTGCAACAGGCGTGCACGCACTCGGATTTCAACATCGACCAAAACACCGACGCCGGACTCACCGTTGTCCATCGCGGAGGCCACGCCCGTTGGCGAGGGCGGCCGCAGGTGCGTGGAGGAGAGCTGGCTGCCGCTAGGGGCCCCCCGCGGGCCTGCGGGGCCCCCCCCCAACATCCCCCCGCCGCCGTTCCCGTTGACCCGGATCGCGGAGGAAACGTGGTAAGCACCATAGTGAGCTGCTGCACGGGGTTGGAGGGGTCATGGGGCACGGAGGAGGAAGCGAGGGGTGAGCCTGGGCGGAAACGCGGCCACCGCGCTTGCCGCAGCGACCGCTCGTGGTAGCAGTGACGTCGAATTTCACGGAGCGATGCGACTTAAAGGCTCAGGATACAAGGATCGTCACGACGATCGGATCCCGTAACTCTGTAATAGCCAATGGAGCGCCGCCGTCGTCGCCACGACGTGTCCTGCCCGGTCAATACGGCGTCTTTAACCTGTGTGTGCAGTCCAAACGTGGAAAAGAAAACCAATCGTGCAGGATACGTGGCAGCGTCGGCGCACAGCACGAGCTCTGTGCACGAGCAAGCGCCGGCGCTCAGGGTCGTCCTGAACGACAACGCCCTGAGTAACCTCGACCCTCAAACGACCGCGGCGTTGGCGACTCGCTCGGCCGACGCGGTCGTCGCGAGCGAACGCCCGGCGTGGTTTTGGATTCTCGGGCGTCCTCACCAATGGCCGAGGGTCGGGCGAGCGCCACCGCCTGCGGGTGGAACGCGGGGCTGGGCTTGAGCACCGAGTGGTGGCGGAACGGTTCGGGCGCCGCCAGGAACGACGCCGACGCCGAGGTGGAGCCCGGCCCGCCGCTGCCTCCGCCGCCGATGCCGCGCTCCGTCGCGACCCCTATGGACGGCGTGCGGGAGAGGGAGGCCGTCACGGCCCAACCACTGCAAGAGTAAGCGCGGGCACACGCGGGGCGCGGTGGCGCCGGGATCGCTGCTCCGCTCTCGATCGTCGCCGCGCTTACCGAGTTGCGTGCCGGCGAGACGGGGCCCTCCCGATGCGCCGGGCCCCTCGTCCGGTGCCGGTAACGGAAGGAGCGTGGCAACGTGGGGCCCTGGAGTTGACGGGCCCCCTCCCGGAGGTGGCGCGGCATACAGACGACCCCGGTACTCTACAACAGCGTGGGCAGGGGAGGAGCGCGGTCACTCGCCGCGTGCGAGCGCACGTGCTCGGTGCGCGTGCGTGTCCGTCTCCCCATCTGTGCCGACGTCCGCCTATTTGCATGTCTGCGCCTGTACGTTGGTATAATTGTCCGTGCGGCTGTGTGCCCGTGTTCCCCGGTGCCCATGTGACCGTGTGCCCCGGTGCCACGCTGCCCGTGCGGCTGTGTGGCCATGCGCGGCGGCATCGCGTACCGTTCCAGAAGATGAGCGGCCCCTTGACCAGCAGCCCTTGCGCGTTGCGAACCAGGAAGTACTTGAGATGCTTCTGCTTCTTGGGCTGCGTGGTAAGCCTCAAATTGATGTGGTTGGAGAACTCGGTGAAATAGCGGAATCCCCTTTCTCCACAGCCCATGCAGTTCCCGGAGAAACCTGCGGTCCACGCAACAAGGAACAAGCGTCGCTAAAGGCAGGGGGTTCGTTTCAGGCAGGGCTGTCTGGGCAAGTGCGTTGTGTTCGTGGGCGCGTGTGTGTTGAGGGGCGGTAGTGTAGCGTTTAGTGCGCTGTGCTACAAACCTGGCCAAATGGGGGCTCTGGACAAGTGCGAGGGGCTGGTAACCCCTACACCTTCAATTAACTACCACTAAACGACGATGCAAAAAAAACGTATTAAGCTTGTGCCGGAGGCCTTGGGGGGACAGGCGTCTATGACGTCTCCTGGCCAAACCCTATTTGGCAGAGCCAGGAGACTAAATCCTTACCCTCGAGGCTCCTCCAAAAACAACAAAAAACCACGACGGGTAGCCACGTGGAATGTTCGAACACTCACTGCGGAGGAGAGGCTGTCACTCCTCTTTCGGGAGCTGGACCGGTACCGCCTGGATCTTTGTGGCATTCAGGAGGTCCGGTGAACCGGCCACCATGAGGGATGGACAGTTCTCTACTCGGGGCAGGAGACTGCCAAACAACAGGGAGTGGCTCGTCTTCTGAACAAAGAATGAAGGGGGCATGGGAGCGTGGCAGTGAGGCATGGGAAGCTGTAAGCCCCAGGCTACTTTGGGTTCACCTTCCCATCAACCAGAGGCGAGGAGTAGTGGTCGTGGTTACTTATGCCCACACCGAAGACGAACATCCTGTGGAGGGATGCAGGCAAGGCCGATGAGTCAGATGCCTTCTTTGACCTCCTGTCACAGGTGCTGGCTAAAGTGGCCCCTCGGGATAGAGTAATCTTGTTGGGTGACTTCATTGCCCGAGTTGGTCATGATGCTAGCACCTGGTCTGGAGGAACTGGAAGACATGGGCCAGATCAGCTCAATAACAATGTTAGGAGGCTGCTAGATTTGTGTGCACCCCCATGGGCTTGTAATTACCAACACGCTGTTCCGGCATCGGCGCATCCACACAACATCATGGATGCATGCCGGGTCCAAGCAAGAACATCTGCTGGACTACATGCGGGCCCATGTCCTTGAGAAGAGGGACCGCACAGACTGTAACAACTACAGGGGCATCTCACTCCTCAGTGTGCCGGGAAAGGTCCTGGCAAGGATTATTCAACATCGCCTTGCTAGGCACGCTGAGGGGTGCGCGACAGGGATGTCCTCTGGCTCCCACATTATTTAACATCTATTTAGACCACGTAGTTCGTGAAGCCTTCAATAGCTGTACCGGAGGAATTTCCATCTGGTACAGATACAATGGGAGGCTGATCGATGCCCGGGTGTGGTCAAGGGATGGCTCCCTATTGCTCAACCATATATGCCGATGATCTGGTAATTGCTGCTCGCTCAGAGGAGGAGTTACAGGCGCTGCTGCTGAATCTGGAGCTTGCCACTAAGAGGTGGGGACTTACCATCAGCCCCACCAAAGCTATGCACCTGCCTGGGTATTTTGTACCATTGGACACTCCACTCCCACAACTCCCAATTGGTGATAGGGCAGTTGTGGAGAGAGTGGAGAGTTTCCCATACCTGGGCAGTGTGCTCATGACCGGCTCCGGTTTGACAGTAGAGGTCTCACTCTGAATCAGTCGAGCGGTATTATCTTTTCATCGGTTGCGTAACACTGTGTGGAAGCTACCTGGTCTGTCGCTCCGCACAAAGCTTCAGGTCTTCTAGACCACAGTCATTCCCTCCGTTCTCTACGCTTGCGAAACGTGGACCCCCCTAATGGAACATCTTCGCCGGTTAGAAACAATTTGGCTGGCCTGCCTACGATCCATTTTAGGTTTAACCAGGCTGGATTGTGTGAGGAGCTCACATTTCCTTGAAAGATCTGGACAAAGTCCCATCGGTGAGCTCCTAAAGCAGGCAAGGCTGCATTGGCTGGGTCATGTAGCCCGCATGCCCAGCCCCCGCATGCCCAAACAGCTTTTGTTCGGCCGGATCGAGGGGGCTAAACGGGCGCGGCACGGGCTAGAGAAGAGATGGAGTGATGTGGTATAGGAGGATGTGGAGCTGAGTGGACTTGCTGATGACTGGTACCAGCGGTGTTAAGATCGGCCTCTGTGGAGGAGGCTTATGAAGGACGCTACTGGGCAGTTGCAGGCAGCGACGCTCACAACAACGAGCGGAGCACCGGGTGGCTAAAGCACAGCAATTTGGCACAGTAGGGGGCACAGGTGGTGTATCAGCCAGTCGTCTCAGTCAGTCGACCCGCGTGGCACCTGGGTCTGTCCCGTGACCTCGTGCCAGCGTGCGTTCAACACTTCACGTGGCCTCAACATGCACATAACCTGGCACAAGCGTCGTGGTGACGTCATCGACACTTGGTGCTGGATGGCGGTTGTTGTTGTTGTTGTGTGTTGGGGAGCGGTAGTGTAGCGTTTAGTGCGCTGTGCTAGAAACCTGGCTACCCGAGTTTGATTCCCACTGACGGCCAACACCGGTGAAAATTATCGGAACCGGTCCCGCAACCGAGCCTCAAATGAGTATCTGGCACAGTGCATAAACATCGCCACTGCAGAGACGAATGCGGCCGGAGCGTGTTGCTGGTCAACCACCCCTTTGTGCGGCATGCCGGCCTTCAAAGGTGCGCGCTAACAGCACCTGCTCCAACAGCCTATTGAGGCTACAAGGGGGGATTTTTGTGTTCATGTGGAGGAGGCTCGGGATGGACGGTACTTGGAAGTTTGAGGCAGTGGCACTCCAGCAACAACAGAGGGCGGAGTGACACTCAAAACAATGAGTGGGGTGCTGGGCTGCTAACACAGCAAGCTGGCACAGTGGGGAGCTCAGGTGGTGCATCTGCCAGTCATCTGCCAGGCAGTAAACCCACGGCACCAGGGTCTGATCTGTGACCTCCTGCTAGCGAGCCTTTGGACACTTCAACATGGCCTCAAAGTGCACTGAGCCTAGTAGAAGCGCTGCTATGACATCATCGTCACTTATTGCGGAATGGCGTCTAACGTTGTTGCTTGTTGTGTGAGCGTGAGTTACGCAGCAGCGCCTGCTTGCCGGCGTCTGTACGTGTGTGGTGGCCAACAGTACTTGCCCCAACAGCCTATTAATGGCTATTTTGGGGATCTTTGTCTTAGTACGTGTGTGGTGCGTGCATTACCCAGCAGCGCCTGCTTGCCAGTCTCGTCGGGCAGGAAGCGGCGATCGACGGCGCACACGAGCACATGCTCGGGCAGCGAGGGCGACTTGGCCCCGACGAGGTGGAACCCGGGAGGCACCTCCAGCGCGTCGGCGCACAGCGACACCAGGCGCAGGTCCTTGCCGGCCTGGCAGAAGCCTGCTCGTGGGCCAGCACGCGCACGGACACGTCCACACGGCTACACGTATGCACATACATATACACACACACACCATGCGCACACAGGCAGAGGCCTGCCAGGCATATACACAGACGGATACACGCACATGCAAAGACAAAGATCCCCCAAGTAGCCGATACAGACTGTTGGGGAAAGTGCTGTTAGCGAGCGCCCATGAAGGTCGGTTCGACGCACGATGATGTGGTGTGCCCAGCACCACGCCCGGCCACCTTTGTTTCCTGAGTGCTGATGTTTACACACCATACCAGGCACGCATTAGGTCGACACACGAGTAACTGGTGCCATGATTAAGGGCCATTGCCCAAGACTTTGCCTTTCATGAATATTTCCTTTAAGGCCACAGCGTTACTGGCGAATGTTTTGAATGCTTCGGTGGAGTTGACCTGGAGGAGGTCCAAGACCGGTTCAAATGTTCAACAGTGATGTTGGCTTTGGCCAGACATCAAACTCACTGGGATTGTGATGCAGTGTGCTAACTACTGCACCACTGCTCCACCCTGGGTCGCACACACACACACAGGAGCACGATGATCCTGCCACCTGCGTCCACAGCAATGACGATGATGACAGTGTGTGCACGGCTCTCACCGTCGGTAGTGCAGCACCCTTCTGGGGGGGGGTTGGGTGGGTAGAGGGTGGGGGGGCTGTTGGAGTCCGAGAGCCGCTCCTCCCCCTCCTCGTTCTCCTCGTTAGAACCAGAGCCCTCCTTGCCGGCGCCCTCGTCGTGAGCGGCGCCGCGACGCCCCCCGCCTCGTCGCCCCCCCATGCTCCCACGCCCTCCCCCAGCGTCTCCGCAAACCCCCTCCCCCAGCTCCTGCTCCAGCTCCTCCACTGTGGGCTTCACATCTGAGACACGAGGAGATACGAGGAGGACGACACGAGGCAAGGATGTGAGACAAACGTGAAGGCAGACAGGGAAACACACGAGGGAGACCGGAGCGGACACGAAGACACCAGGGGACACGAGAAACAGCAGGGCCAGCATTGTACACAAGACTGCACAGACGGCCTGGGGCAGCACAGGGCAGCTCAAGGTAGTGAAGTTCCACTCGGGACCACATTGCGTTGCGATACGGTCCAGCGTAGCGACGTGAAGGTTGTGATGCCGCGATGCATTCCGGGTGTACGTTGTGTTGCGCGATACAGTCCACGTGCGCCGTTCGTGCTGTACCCTCAGGGGAGCCGGGGTCCTGCTCGCAGTCGAGGTAGAGCTGCGAGAAGACGGGGCGTGGCAGCGCGCTGCCAGAGCGCAGCGACGCCTCGATGGAGCTGTGCAGCGCCTCCTCGAACCGCGCCGACTTGAGCTGTCCCGCGTACGCGTTACCCATCCTGCACCGCAACCGCCGCACAGCAACCGCACGGCCACCGTCACAACCGCCGCCGCGTAACCTTGGGCCTCCACCTTGGACCTCCACCTTGGGCCTCCACGCGAAGAAGCGTGGGGCCTCCACGTGGAACGGCGTTGGGTTCCGCGCGGAGCCCCAACCCCCAGAGTGAGGGGGGGAGCTTTTGTTTCGAGGCGCACTCCCCGCCACCCCCACCTCGGCTCCAACTCCGCGAGCCGTACAGCTGTGGCAGTTGGCATCCAATTAATTTAAGTGGCCGTGAGTGCTGCCCCACGGAGGTGGAGGGCGGGGGGAGAAGAGTGGGCCCTCCCTGTGGCCACCTCCTGCTCGCTCCCCCCTTCCAAACCGGTGCCCCCCAAGACCCCAAGAGGCGGAGGGTACAGAACGGGAGAGTTAACAAGTTGGGGGGGGGGTCTCATGAGCCCACTGGTCCCCCCTCTCCTCAGCAGGGGCCATGTGTGTGGAAGGACATTCCAGCCTCTGCTCCCTCTTTGTTGTGTGTCCTTCTTGTTGGTTTTATCTCCTGTCCCCTCCTCCTGCACCCCCCACCCCTCGCACCCCCCTCCCCCACCACCACTGCCACTACCACGGCACATCAGATGGCGCAGATCTGGAGAGGCAGAGGGAGAAAGGGGGGAGAGGGAGGGGAGAGCGGGGGAGATGCCGACCGCTGCGCTGGCTTGAAAAGGTGGCTTCCCTTGGGGGTTGGGGGAGCAGATAACCCTGACTCCCCCCAGCGCAATGCCCCTCCCCCCCCTGCCCCTCACCCACCCCTGGCCAGCAGGCACACATGGCCACAGCACTGGTAGTGGGTCACGTGTGGGCAAGTCGGGGGAATGAGCGAGGGGTGAGTGTTTGGTGAGTGAACGGTGAGCGGAGAGTGATCGGTGTTTCAGTAGTGCGGTGAGCGATAGGTGGGTGAGTGATGAGGTGAACTAAGTGCGACTGGTGACTGAGCAGGAGGACAGCAGTGGGTGAGCGGAGGGGTGAGCGGAGGGGTGAGCAGAGGGGTGAGTGGACGGGTGAGCAGAGGGATGAGCAGAGGGGTGAGCAGAGGGGTGAGAGGACGGGTGAAAAGAGGGGTGAGCAGAGGGGTGAGCGGATGGCTGAAAAGAGGGGTGAGTGGAGGGGTGAGCAGAGGGGTGAGCAGAAGGGTGAGCGGAGGGGTGAGCAGAGGGGTGAGCGGACGGGTGAGCAGAGGGGTGAGCAGAGGGGTGAGTAGAAGGATGAGAAGGAAGGGTGAGCAGAGGGGTGAGCGGAGGGTGAGCAGAGGGGTGAGCGGAGAGGGTGAGTGGACGGGTGAGCGGAGGGGTGAGCAGAGGGGTGAGCAGAGGGGTGAGCGGAGGGGTGAGTATAGGGGAAAGCAGAGGGGTGAGTAGAGGGGTGAGCGGAGGGATGAAAAGAGGGGTGAGTGGAGGAGTAAATGGAGGGGTGAGCAGAGGGGTGAGCGGACGGCTGAAAAGAGGGGTGAGTGGAGGGGTGAGCAGAGGGGTGAGCAGAAGGGTGAGCGGAGGGGTGAGCGGACGGGTGAGCAGAGGGGTGAGCAGAGGGGTGAGTAGAGGGATGAGAAGGAAGGGTGAGCAGAGGGGTGAGCGGAGGGTGAGCAGAGGGGTGAGCGGAGGGGGTGAGTGGACGGGTGAGCGGAGGGGTGAGCAGAGGGGTGAGCAGAGGGATGAGTAGAGGGGTGAGCAGAGGGGTGAGCGGAGGGGTGAGCCGAGGGATGAGTGGAGGGGTGAGCGTGGCACGTGAGGTGTCTGAAGGTGTCGCCACCTCTTCGGTGTCGCTTCTAAAGGGACCGTGTTCACTGCAGTGTAGAGTTAATTCGGCCTTCCTCAGTATAAACTCTCGATGAGTGCACATAGACAAACTAAGAAAAAAGTGATTAGTGATGAGAGAGATGTGTGTGGTGATGTGTGTGTCTAGAGGTGTGTGTGTGTGGAGGAGGCTCGTGAAGGACGCTACTGGGCAGTTGGAGGCAGTCGCCCTCCAACAACAACGGATGGCGGAGGAGCGATGCTCACAACAACGAGCGGAGTGCCGGGTGGCTAAAGCACAGGAAGTTGGCACAGTAGGGGGCACAGGTGGTGCATCAGCCAGTCATCTCAGTCAGTCGACCCGTGGCACCTGGGTCTGCCCCGTGACCTCCTGCCAGCGGGCGTTCGACACTTCACGTGGCCTCAAGGTGCACATGGCCTGGCACAAGCGTTGTGGTGATGTCACCGCCACTTCGTGGCGAATGGCGGTTGTTGGTTGTTGTTGTGTGTGTGGGAAGTGGTAATGTAGCGGTAAGCACGCTGCGCTACGAACATGACCACCCGAGTTCAATTCCCGCTCATGGCCAACGCTAGTGACGATTATTTGAATTGGTCCCGAGCCTTCCCTAGGTCGACTCAGCCTCAAGTGAGTATCTGGTGTGGTGTATAGACATCGTCACTTCGGGAGACAAAGGCGGCCGGGCGTGGTACTGGCCACCCACCCCCTCGTGTGCATTCATAGGTGCTTACGAACAGCACTTGCCCCAACAGTATGTTAAGGCTAAAAGGGGGATCTTTGTCTTTGGTGCAATTTGTGTGTGGGGGGAGCGGTGGTGTAGTGGTTGTGGTGAGAAGGGAGCGACCACCCCTCAACATCAACAACTCAGCGTCTGCTCACCCCACTCACCCTGCCCACGAGTGGTGCCCACAGCTCACCGAGCCCTCACCTCCCACTCGACCAGCCAGCGAGTGGTGAGCACACAGCGGACAGAGATCCATGGAAAGCCCTAGGGACGTCTGTGGACGCGGGTGACTCAGCTGGCAATGTTTGACAGCCACTGTGGACCAGCCTCTATCAGCAAGGTTCCTTCTTCCCATTGTATCTTCGTTTGCTCGGTGTTTGTTGGTCTCATTTAGTGTGGTGCTGCACAGAGCTGGAGTGGGATGAAGCATGGTGTACAGCAGGATACGTACGACTGGTGCTGTAGATGTGTGCGGTGCGGTGTGCACCGTGCGGAGCAGCGTGGGGGCGAGAGCAGTGGAGTTGACCTGAGTAGGCAGGAATGAGTGGGGGGTGAGTGTGGTGAGGCTGGGGTGGGTGTTAGTGGGGGTGGGCATATATATGGGGGTGTATATGTGTGTGTGTGTGTAACAAGCTCAGTGTGTGCGAGAGGCTGGTAACCCTTTCAATGTTTTACACCAACCATTACCAGTATCCTCGGTGGAAAAACACGCACAGACACACACGCGCGAGTGCGCACGCACACACACACATACACGCACGTGCTCTCACACACGCACACACACTACCATGCCACTATGCAGAGCGCCAACAGATTTCCTTGACCCCTGACCCCGGCCCATGCCCGACCCACTATTTGTCGCCAAAAATGAGCAAGGTCACCTAATCCAATAAAGGTCGCGGCCTCTCACCCCCTCCCTTCGCCGCAGTGCCCCCTGCCCCCTCCTCCTCCTCCTCACAAGGACATCGCTTACCCCTCCCCACCATCACTTCCAATCTCACAGCCACAGCCTCCCCCACCATCCCCACTGCATTATATGCAGAAGGTCACCATTTTTGTGGGCCCAGGTCTCCCTGGCGCGGCACCTCGTTCCGCACGGAGCCCACGCGGGCAGGGACGGTGCCGCTCGCATCTCCCCCTTCCGGCCCGGTGACCCCGAGCGAGGAGCCCGCTTATCCTGTCCGAGCGTCTCTCCCTCGGAAAAGGGGACCCTTCGCGGAGTCCCCCGGGAGGGTCCGGGCGGCGGTGGCACGCGCCCACGCTCGCTCGCAGCTGTGGGCTTCGGGGCGCGGACATTGATCGTTATCGACGCGGCGCCCACGGCGATCCTCTCCGCGTTAGAGACGAGAGGCCCCCCCCGCGTGCGCCCTACCCCCTGAGCCCCTCAGAACCTCAGAAACCCCGCCCACCACGGGACTGGGCCCCCACGCCGGTGGCATTTGAGCGCCGCAATGCCATTTGATTTGGGGGGGGGGGGTGAGGTCTCTGTGGAGGGCGCAGTCTCACCCTGTAAAAATTAAATCTTGACTTCGATCGCTCAGCGAATAATTTGCCTCGCGGTGAGCACGGTAACACAACTCCAGGCTCGGTGCAGGGGCGGAACCCCGGTTTCCCGTCAACCCCGTTTGGTAGCGGTGTGGATCGGCACAGTCCGCGTGGAATTGCCGGCGGCGTCGCAAACCGTCACCTGTCTCCACGCCGGCGTTGCTCAATGCTGCTCCGCTGGCCGCTCCATGGCTCCGCGGTCGTGTCAGTGGTTGAGCTCCTCCCTCCTCACCGCCATCCGCACCGCCACAGCACCGCAAGCGCCGACGCCGCCAGGCACTCGGCTAAATGACACAGACGCGCAGATTTGGCGGCACGCATGAGGCGAAGAGCACGGTGACACGCGCAGCCACGCACGCGGCGAAGGTTTAGTCGCTCCCCGAATATTCCTAGGGTTTCCAATAGACTGGAATAGGCGGCAGGTGACAAGCAACCACAGTCAGACGTAGACCCGACGTGGTGTGCCAGGTGCAGATATAATATCCGGGTCGCCGACCCGGCCGAGAAAAGGCACAGCCCTGGAACTGATCGCTCGTGCCACTGCTGGCGGAAGAGCCCCCACCAGAGGGAGCTCCTCTACAGGGTATGAGGCCTTCTCTTCCACGCTGGACAGACATCTTGGGAGAGGTCGTCGGAGCACCCACACTTCACCCCACAACACGCAACCTGCCAACGGACTGCATTTCTGCCTGACAGGCCGAGATGAAAGAGCCTTGCGCGCAAACACGGGACACCACCAGACTCTGCAGACTCCCTTATCTCATCCTCCTCGGCCACCTGCGCCCAGTGTCCACCCACGCATCCCGACAGAGACCCTAAGAGAAACGAACGCTTCGGAATTCGCCGACGACGTGTACGCGCCGCGGCTCCCGGCCACGGCTCCCGGCCACGGCTCCCGGCTCTCATCGTTAAACTCAGCCGAGCTCTCGGGAGTGAAAAACGCCAAGTGTGAACTGGGGAGTCGTGTTTCCACGCTCGGCCCCCCCGAGCGCCGACTCTTCCCCCCAACCGAACTGGACGGAACCCGCGCCGCCTCGACACGGAACGTCGACAACCACGGCAAACTCCGGAGGGCAGCCCGAGGAGGGCAAGGGCAGGGCTGAAGGGTCCCCGAGCGGCTTCGAGCGGACGCTGCGAGAGGAGGGGCACGGGGCGAGTGTGCAGGTGGCGATCGTCTCAGCCCGTTCGGGGTCGGTGTGAACCTCACTCCACAGCGCAGGCCTCGTGGCTTATGCACGCGCGTGTTTGTGTGTGTGCGCGTGTTCATGTGCGTGTTTGTCGTGTAACGTGTGTGTGTGTGTGTTTGGGTGTGCATGTGTGTGTGTGTTTATGGGGGAGCGGTAGTGTAGTGGTTGGCGCGCTGCGCTACGAACCCGGCGACACGGGTTCGATTCTCGCTCACGGTCAACAACAGTGACGATAACCTGAACCGGTTTTGGGCCTTCCCTAGGTCGACTCAGCCTTACACGAGTACCTGGTGTGGTGTGTAACATCGCCACGAGGGAGACAAAGGCGCCCGGGCGTGGTGCTGGTTACCTATCCCCTCGTGTACCGTGCCAGCCTTTATAGGTGCCACTCACTAACAGGACTTGCCCCAACAGTCTGATAGGGCTATACGTGGGATTTATTTCTTTGTTGTTTTCTTCATGTGTGCGTATGTACATTTCTGTGTTTGTGTGTCCGTGTGTTTATGTGTGTGTAATGCGTGTTCATGTGTGTGCACATTTGCGTGCGTGTGTGTTTATGTATGGCGTGTAAGTGTAATGTGTGTGTTTGTTTGCGCGTGTGTGTGTGTGTGTCAGGGGAGTGGTCGTGCAGTGGTGAGCGCTCTGCGATATGAACCCGGTGACCCGAGTTTGATTCCTGCTCACGACAAATAACAGCTACGATTATCTGAACCGGTCCTGGGCCTCTCCGAGTTTGACTCCGGCTCAAATGACTACCTGGTGCGGTGTGTAAACATCGGCACTAGGGAGGTGGCTGGGCGTGGTGCTGGCCTTCATAGGTGCTTGCTAACAGCACTTGCCCAAATAGTCTAAGGCTATCTAGGGGATCTTTGTCGAAACGTGTGTTTTTTTATGTGTATCTGCTTTTGTGGATGTGTATGGATGTGTTTTTTATGTTTGTGCGTGTGTGCGCGTTTGTGTGCGAGTGGGTTCATGTGCGCATGCACAAACCAACACACATCCTCCCACCATCACTTACACCGCACGCACGTATTGCCTCGTGTGAGCACGTGTGTGGCATCAGTGTGTGCATGCACACACAGTAATGTATTCACACACATCAACATTGCGGATTAACCACGATAAACAGGCGGTTTCACAACCGCCATGCACACAGCTCACACTCAACCCTCACAAGCATTCATATTGAAACACAAAGACAAAGATCCCCCGTATAGCCTTCACATACTGTTAGGGCAAGTTCTGTTAGCAAGCACCTATTAAGGACAGCACGGCACACGAGGGGGTGGGTGGCCCGCACCACGTCCGTCCACATTTGTCTCCCCATTGGCAATGTTTACACCCTCCACCAGATGTTCATTTGAGGCTGAGTCGACTTAGGGGAGTCTCAGGACCACGTCACCCTCTAAAACACCCACACACACGTGCAGGCACCTCCCGTGTGCCGTATAACCCACGCGTGCGGGCACACCGACGAGGATCGCGCGTGCGATGATGGGGGACTCTTCGCTGGCCCCGCGCGTCCTCACCTCCTCTCTCTGGGCGCCGAAGCGGCGATGCTTCTCTGGCGTCGCCAACGCCGCCGCCGCCACCGCCGCTAGCGCCGCCTGAAACCCAACGGAGCCACCGCCCCCCCTCTGGTCACCGAGGTCAGAGGTCAGCGGCGCCCCGTCAAGCGCCGACCTTGTCCACCTCCGATTTAAAAACCCGGGCGGTGGGGGCGCCGGTGCGGTCGCGTCGGCCGCTCCGCGACAAACGTCGCGATCCGGCGGCGATCGGCGGCGAGAAACGAGCGGCGCGCGGGGACCGCCGCGCCGGCGTCTCCTCGTCGTCGTCGCTCGAGGGGGATCCCGGGCTGCCGGCCGGGCCAGCGTGGCGCTGGGAGTGACGCCGCGTGAATGGAGGTGATGGTGACTCTCGAGAGAGATTCCCTCCTTCCTCCCCTACACCCCACCCCGCACAGCCCCAGGGAGTTCAACAGACGAGCTCTGATACCATCAGCAAATAGCTGCCTACCTCATCAGCTCCACCACCCCCCCCCAACAAAACCACCCCCAACTGCACACATTCCATACCCCGCCTCCCCCCCCACCACCACCACCACCACCCCCTTTCACAAAAAAGGACAAAATTCCAAGCTTTCCCCCCATCCCCAACAGCACACGCGCGCGCGCTCACACACACACACACGCGCGCATGCACGCAAGACAGCGACCAGCACGCGCTACAACCGTACAAAAAACCGGATCCAGCTGGCTTTTGTAGCGACGTTCTCTTCCCCTCTTGGCTGCCTCCCTCTTCCCACCCATCCCACGAAACCCACAAGCACTGTACATGCGCCGCGCACGCTGCACGCCGACACGATCGCTGCTTCCGTGGCGCACGTGGAGGCGGTGCAGGGGCAGCGTGGACACGGCGCCAGCCGCAGCCTCGCCACCGCCGGCACGGTGCCGACAGGACCACGGCTCGGCCTCGCCATGCCAGCCTGGCCATCTCGGACAGCCTCGCCCGGCCACATTACCCACACCCCACGGCCCGCCGTCACCGTGCCGGCCACGCGAGCGCAGCCTCGCGAGCGCAGCCTCGCGAGCGCAGCCTCGCGAGCGCAGCCTCGCGAGCGCAGCCTCGCGAGCGCAGCCTCGCGAGCGCAGCCTCGCGAGCGCAGCCTCGCGAGCGCAGCCTCGCGAGCACAGCCTCCGCGCGGAGTCCGAGGGAACCGTTGTCCCGGTCGTTTCCATCCACGAATCTCATCAGGCCTGGGGCTCAGAGAAATCCCCCCCACCCCCCACGTCCTCACGAGCTGCACTCCAGGAGACTTATTTCTAACGCGGAGGGAGAAATGTATCAATAATCGCAGTTACAATTATCTACGCGGCGTCAACATTCGACCGCATCTCAGACTGGAAACGAACGCCCGGGGCCCCGCCGGGGGGGCCCTCTCCGCGAGCCCGGAACCGCAGGCGACGGGCCCCGAGGTGCCACCGCCTGCGCCACGCCGGTGGCCGGTTGCCGCAAACGCCCGACGTCACTCGTCTCCCGTGATTTTGCTCGCCGCTTTAAATGAGGCTCCGACGGCCTACGGCAGCCGCAGGGCTCACGGACTCGGCTACCTCGGTCACATCCGAGGCTCTCGATCTCTCGTCCAGTGTCAGCCCTAGCACGGGGAGCGTCCCACGGCACGTGCTGGGCCAGCACAAGCCGGAACGCTGTGACATCTGTGAAAAAGAGCTTTGTAGCTCCAGTGTAAATATTCCGATTCCGATTCTGACGAGCAGCGCGCGGCGCCTCCCCGCCCGCTACGTTCCGCGTGGGGCCACGGCTCCGTAACTTGAGCCGGGTCTCCCGTCCGGCTTGGCGGCGCACGCGCCACCACGTCCAACGCACCTCCTGCACTGCGGATGCCCTGGCTACGAGTCGCGTTCCGCCCGCTCCCGTCTAACGAAACATATTCGGTGAAAAATGAAGCCCAGGTCACGGCCCGAGGGCTGCGGGTTCATCGTGACAAAGCGGCGAACGACCGCGGCGGTCGACCACGGGGAAGGGAGCGATGGCACCGGCGGCGTAAGGAGCGCCTTGCAAGCCGGCAGCAGTGTGTGTGGTTCAGGCAACAGCAGCAGCACAGCGGCAGCAGCGCGGGAGAATGAGAGGAGGCAGCAACGAACAAACGCAGGAACGGCAAAGATCCAAGTATCAAGCTGGAGATGGGTCAGCGCAGACTAAGATGGCACGAGCTGGTTAAAGTAAATACGCCCTCCATGAATCATTAAGCGCAAAGGTTGATCCGCCTGAGACCCACAATGAGACTTGCGGAGTCAGCAGGATTTTGTCAGCAAACACGAGCAGGTGACGAAGGGAAAGGAAAAAAACCCAAAGCATTTTCATAACATTTCTAAATAAACGCCGCCCGTGTTTATCTGCCTATGGAATTTCACGGCCGATCGAGTCATGGTTGCGAGCCACCCTTGACTGCGCGTTTGAGAGGAGCGGAGAAGAGCGGAGCCCACCGTCCCCTGCCTCCACGGCCATCGCCGCCGCCGCCTCCTCCTCCTCTCTGTGGGGTCGTCACCGCGCTCCGCGGGGGCAGGGAGAGGCGCTGGGGTGGGCGGGAGACCTGGAGGGGCGGGGGCGGCAGCGGCCACGTCGGTTTGACGCGGCGGCGCTGGCTGTGTTTGTGTGCGCTTGTGTCGTGACACCGCTTTCTGTTTACGTCTTAACTCCTCCCGCACAAGCAGAGACTCTCGCTGCGAGCGCCGCGTTCCCCACGACGCTTGGCGGGAGACCCCGACGTTCTCCGCCAGCTCCTGAACGTGCGCACGCCTCGCTCTGCCGTGGCGGCCACAGCCATTCTCGTCCGGTGCGGCGTTGATTTGCAAAAGCAAACATCACGGCCGTCAGTTCTGGCCAGAGCGAGAGTCCGGGCTGCCAGAGGCCTGGGAGGAACTTTACGGACCGCTGGCGTCGAGCCCTTCACGGCGCTTCCTGCCTCAATCGCGCAATTTATCGGCTCAACTCGAACCGAGAGAGCCCTTCCCCCATCACTGCTGGCTTCGGTCATTTATTTAGCGCGGCGCAGTAAATGGGAGGGAATAGATGCCAAGTGGTTAGCACATTGACCTTTGAACCCAGCGGCACGAGTTTGATTCCCATCGACGGCTAACATCACTGGCAAGAGATATCCGACACGATCCTGGGCTCTTTCCCTTCACCATCCTGACGTGGTGATGTGTGGTCAAAAACCCAGATGACCGACACAGAATGGGAGGCCTGCATTCTGAAGAGGGTTAAGGAGAAGGTTGTAAATTATTTGACTAATCGAGTCATGTACGAGTGGTGGATGCGTAAAGTGTCCGCGTACCATCGTGCGTGCACACGTGCGTGCACATGCGAGTGTGCGTGCATGCGTATCTCGGCGTGTGCTTTAATCTGCGTAAGTGTGCGTGTGCATCTGCACGCAGGTGTGCAAGTGCGTTTCAGCCGCTTGTGTTTGGCTGGATAAACGGGTGCGGCACAGGCTGGAGAAGAGATGGATTGATGCGGAACGGGGGTATGTGAAGCTGGGTGGACTTGCCGTGGTGTCAAGATCGGCGTCTGTGGGGGAGGCTCGTGAAGGACGCGACTGACAACAGCGGAGGGTGGAGGAGCGACGCTCGCAACAACGAGCGAAGGAGATACAATGTAGCAAAGCCGCAGCGGGGAGCACAGTTGGTGCATCTGTCAGCCATCTCTGACAGTGAACCCATAACACCTGGGTCTGTCCTTTGACCGCCTGTCAGCGAGCCTTCGACACTTCATGTGGCTTCAAAGTACACCTAGCCTGGCACAAGCGCTGGAGTGACATCACTTGGTGGCGAATGGCGGCTGTTGTTGTGTTTGAGCGTGCTTGCGTACGTGCTTGGGGAGAGGGCATTGTATACCGGGGGGAGGGCAGCGGGGATGCGAGTCGCGAGGAGAGGGGATTGGGGAGAAGGGGGAGGGGTAGATGGAGGGAGGGGAGGGGCCCTTGAAGAGCGCCGTAGAAAAGCCGAGAGCGGGATTGGGATGGTGCGAGGCTGAGTGAACGCTCGCACTACTTCTCCGACTTTCCACATTCACGTGCCGGGGACAGCAGCGTTACGGCTGCTGCTCTGTACGTTTCGACTGCTACCACATTCTGCAGTGGAGGCACGGCAGTGGAATAACCCCTGCAGCTGGCCGTTGGCATGGCCCATTCGCAATCCAGCGACCGCACTGATTAATACTGCAGGTTTATTGACCGTAATAATACATGCCAGAGAAGAGCATTGTGTGCTGGCAAATTCGAAATTACACCGCAAAATACTACTACTGGCAAACTCTTTGCCCCAGGTCACGGTTGCAAATGAGACTCCTACCCTGGTCTCCCGAGTTCTCACGTGGTTGAACAAAATTGACTTGATTTAGCCACGGCCTGAAATCGAACTCAGGTCGCTGAGTTCATAGCGCAGTGCGCTAAACCACTGCCCCGCGGCTCCTACTTCAGTACAGAGTGGATGTGGGGCCACTCCCCCTCGCCAGGCCGCAGGGGAAACCGTGAATGACCTTATCCGCTACACAGGGACACGGAATTTCCATCGCTGGTTGGTGGTTGACGGTGGAGACGTGCGAGACGCGTGCCGGGCCAATTCTCGTTTGGGCAGCGGCCGCTCTGACGTCCGAGTTTGCGTGCGGGTGCCGCAGGACCTCGCCGAGCGCCGGGGCTCTCTCCCCGGAGGATCCTGCCTCGATGGGAAGCGCAGCCTTCGCTGTCCACGACCGCGGCCGAGCGCGCGGTGGTTTGAAAGGGAGGGCGGCCTCCGCCGTCAACGTCGAAGCCCGGCCGGCGCCCGCACGCGGGACAGCCCGTGGCAACGCAGCGATCGGTCGTGACGCCGCCGAAACGGTGACGCCGTGATCGTTCGCGGGACGCTCACCGTCGCGCGTCCCGGTCGCGTCGCGCACTCGGCTCATCTGCGCGCAGCAGTCACGGCAGCTGCTTTGGGACCGCACGCTCTCTCTATTTATAGCCACGAGAGACTTCCAAGTTACTGGCCAAACGGAATGAGACGGCGGCGCAAGTGGCCGCACGCACGCAACCGCCGGCATTCGCTCGCTCGTCGGGGCCAAGGCTGGAGCCACGGGCGCTCGGGGGCGGGGTCAATGCGGGGGTCGCGGGGTCATGGCGGTGTAACGGGCGCCACCGATTCACGGCGACGGCGTGGCAGAAGTAAAACGATGCGAAGCGCGGCGCCCGGGGTGGGGCCCAATCGGCGGCACGGCAAAGAACCTCCTGAAACTCTACGGCCACGCCACAGAGTCGCTTAACCTCCACGGGTGTCTGCCCAGCCAGAGGCGGCCTCCTGCTCTCGCGCTGGAGGCCGACGGATGGGGCAGGGGGGCCCAGGATTGACTTCAACCGGAGACCTGGGCAAAGGAGATAAAATCTG